TATTCTTTTACACAATTTATAATGAAACATCGACCGATATTTTAGACAGGAAAACTTAATCAAGTTTTAACAGTCAAAAACCAATTTATAAACACAATAGAACAGGGCGCGGCGCCATATCGCACGATTAACCTTAAGAACTAGTTATGCTAAATTTGTAGACAACTAAAAATAAAAATAAAAAAACCTATGCGATTATCTATTATTTGTCTAGGCTTATCTATCGTATGGAAAATCTGATCGCTACGTTAAGATTTTATTACTTGTTATTCAGTCATAAATTTAATTTCTTGATAGTTGTGTATTAACCTCAATGATATTGTAAACGGCTATCTATTAAAATATAATATTTATCAATTTGTTCATTACAAATTTATTTCAATACCATTGTAAAATAACATATACTTTCAAGCGGAAATTTCATTTTAATCGGCTTCGGTATTTTTGTGTATTTACAGGTAAAAAAGCTGTATAGCGTATTCAAAACTAATATACAATTATCAAGAGCTAATGTTGTTGTTGAATACAAAAATGATCTAATTTAAACCTGCCTTTCATGATAAATTATTGGATTTCGGGCTCGAGGCATACTTCCTAAATTACAAATAGAGTATGTGCGATATACAGAAAAAGATCTTGTTAGAGTTTACTTCTTTCGGAAATTTAACATATGAGCAATAGGTTCCTCTATATAACTACTAAAGAATATAGGCACTTCTATATATTTGCTTGGAATGATTCTAAGTCGTATCTGTTCGTAAATACCGTTGGCCAGCGATGGTTTTTTTCCATAAAATGGTTGTGCGAAGTAACCCAATGAAAATTGTTTTATAGTGTTACTTCTGATCCGTCTCGATAGAATACATGTTTAGAGTTGTATCTAGTAAATATTAACATTTACTTGGACTTATTATAGGGTAGTTATTTTTCTATGTCGATACTTATAAGCATTTTCACCTGTCAAATGGTCGCTTTCTATTTACGCAACGGGTAAACGAAATCGTACTGTTCCGTCGGCCTTCACAGTTTTAATTGTGCAACGCTCGAGACTTTATCATTTATTTAAATTATGTGGTTGTATCGAACGGTGGCTAGCGTCTATAGGACCGGTTCACACACACAGCAACGCCGTTGTTTCTACTTGCTACACACGCTGCGCCGCCAGGGCTCACTCGCCAACTCGCGGACGCCGCGCCACCGTCCCCACTCAAAAGGGCTTCTAGCTCGTCTATGTTTGACGTCAGAGCACTCGCAGCCTTACAGGCTAATTATAGACTGCAAATTCCTAATATAGATACGCAAGCGAGGCTTAAAATATCCATTAAGCACGCTTCACGTCTTAGGAGTCAAGGAACGTTGCATCTAATGCTCACACTCCGCCTGGAAGCGGATTGGCAGGTTTATTTCTGTTCAACAAGACTTAAATACGGAATAGCAATTCGTCAAGATTTTAATCTATCTTAAAACGTTTATACAACAATTATATTTTATTACTACTATGGGTTTTCAATGCAGAAATACACACATACGGACAAAAACATGTATCATCATAAAAAATCACTCTTCCAGTCTTTTTGGAAATAAGAGAGTTAACAAAATGTTTTTGCACAGTTGTGTCGGCAGTGGAAACTCAAACTTGAGTAATGAAAAGGACTGTTTGAAGATAATACACATATCTGCTATTGGCAAAGCGTAAATGAAGAGGTGGTACAGAAGAGCAGTGGACCGTGCACGGCCGACCCATCACGCTCCTACACGCTCTGATAACGACCAATCGCAGCCACCTTGAAAATTATGACAAGATAATATTCATAAAATTAGCAGTTGCTCAAATTTCTTATTTTACTCGTTGAAAATTATACTTTCTCGTTTCAATTTCTCAATCGAAGAATTTGTTAAAAGATATTTCAAGAAGTTATACTTTTGTTGTTATTGATAAAAACAAATTCTTTTATTTATATACCTAATCTCTAACCTATATTAATAAGCTCAAAAAATGGGAAAGATTGAGGAAATTCGAAGGCTATTCATAAGTAGAAGATTTTGCGTCGCTTAGTTGTTCATAGCCGATATCGATACACCTTAGTGCGTCAACTAATTGATAAACGTAACATTTTCTTAATTTCAGCAAGTTCTACCCTAAAAAAGTAATGACACTATATTATAGTGGAAGGTCTCCATCTTTTGGATGAGCCTACTTGGAATATCGAATAGTGCCTATGTAATACATAAACCTGTAAAATATAACATACATAACCAAACAATGTTTATATCATATAAAGTGAAATACAATTTATTAATCCAGTAATTAAATAAGTGCAGTATAACTTTTGCACCACAGAAGAAGCTTCAAATTAAATATGAATCTCAGGTTTTTTTTTAAAAGTTGGTATATTTACCCAGACCTTATTAAACATGATACAATGTATATGCAAAATTTGCCTAAAACTGTCACGTTTTATTTGCTAGACAATGTGACAATACATAAAAATTGATTTATCTTCTTTAAATCCCAGACATAACAAACAGGTCAAGAACGTAACACCTTGTAATTCGTCTAAATTGCCACAAGAATTTGGATGAGATGCGTACGTGACTGGCATGTAATCATGGCCTATTTTGCGTTGCTTTTAAATTCTAGTTTTAAATTTTAAACTCATCACAGGCTTGCATATTGATATTAAATAGTCTTTACTTACAGATTTGACTTTAAAACTTATTATTTGTCTCTTTATAGACCTTATATAGCTTCATGGTATTTGGAGAACTTAAAAACTTATTATGAAGAAGTTGACCCAGCTGTTCTTGAACATAACCATAAAAATAATATAATTTATCGCCAATAGTAACTAAGTTTTCCACTTCAACATTTAATTCTCAATGTCATATTGAAATAAAGTTTGATTTATGTATGAAGTTAATTATTAAAAGCTATTATAATGCCTGTATAAAACATTTCCATCTCGTCATAGACTCCATATTATATTGCGGTTTATATTAAATCTACCCATGTTGTTTACATTGCGGTATTTGTATATTTATAGGCTCCTGAATATTCTATTTGAATCTTATTGGATTTCTAAAATAGTGATATTAATCCGTTATGTACTGAAGTTGTTAACCAAAGAATTTAATCCATTTGACTGTTAGTAGAGCTAAGGAAAACCTCTTCATCAACTTTTTTCTTCATGGACACTTTTAATAACAATTTTTGTTTAGAACATGTTAAAATACTAAACAACAATTTAATTTTTTTGATATGGTATGTAGAATAAAATAGATGCAATGCTCTCTAAACTTCAATACGACCAAAACACATATAGGTATAACATCTTAGCTTAGTCTTCAAATGGTTTTGACTTGACCAAATAATAAAAGTAAAGTCGTGAGAGATTATTGGCATTACAAGTATGGAGCACATAGAAAAAAACACAAAACAGAAAACGCACAGATAGAGTAAACTTTGGCGGGCAAGTATATTACTTGGGTGTGCTGTAAAGTGAATTGGATGAAAGATTGAGTGCACATATTTACATACAACGATTATTTATGTTGTTATGCAGTAAAATAAAAAGCGACTCTCAAAGTTGTTAAAAACTACATGGTAAGGTATGAAAAACTTTTGTGGATGTTAGTTTGTGTTAGTTGTGAACATAGCATATAACTAGTAGACAATGTGTGAGCAGGAGCAAAGAGCATAGACAAAGGTGTAACGTACGTGGATCATGGCACGTGGTGCGGGCGGAGAGCGCGCTGGCGCTGGGGCGGCGGCGCCGGCGAGCGCGGCTGCTGCGCACCGGTTGAGGCGCGGGCGCAGATCGAAAGTTCGACGCGAGATCGAGCGCGCATATGTAAATATCGGCACATTTACAAGCGAAAGGGTTCACCGGAGCGGCGCGCTAACGCGGCGTTGCGCGGGAACCAGTCCGGTGAGATTCCTTCGGCGTCCGATAGAAAAATGTCGAACGAGCTTCGGGTCCATCACTCGGTGCGGGTGTCTGGTACGCGACGCGGTCGCCACTCGACTGCCGCCCTCCTCTCGCCGCAGCTCGGCTGATATATTTATCGCTTAATTATTGAACTCGTCGTGTAACAATTATGATGCAGCTCGGCGGTCGCAGGCGCTGTCGGCGCGGACGAGGGCGAGCGGCGCTACCGCGTCTGCGCGCGGCCGTTGCGTCACGCACCGCTTGCTCACCACTTCCCAGCTCCGATTTTATCTAACCTACTCCAATGCTCACCTGCTATTCACTTCGAACATTAACCTTCAACAAATATCGACTAAGCCTTATCTTCCTGCTGTCCAGTTCCGCCTTCATCGTCTTAATTAAAAGAAAAATAGATGAAATAGACATTTTAAAAAACACAGCAGTCAAGATAGTTCCTGTGCTAGAACGTTAGATCACTCTCACTAAAACGGCCTCCTGACAACTCCAAAACAAAAGACAGCTAAGATTTAAGTCTAACTAGGTTAACAATTGGCTTTAAAACATTTCCTTATTGTTCTACATGTATATTTACATTACACCCAAAAGAGGTAAATATATCTTCTAGAACATAGGGCTTTTTTGAAAACTTTGAAACGTTTGATAAAGGAGTGGAATTGTTGAAGGTTTTCTTTCAATGCTTGACAAATATTATAAATAAATTAAATCAAAAATTGAAATCTCTTGTAGAGGTCAAGACAGTAGAGATGCATTAAATCGATGGGTAGTAGGGAAAAAAGTACTCTTTCTATCTACTTCTTCCTACCTTAGATTGTTATTAAGGTTTTGTATGTTGCTCAGTATTTATTGTATCTTTGTCTCATGTATCTTAAATAAATTGCGATTTATTGTAATCATTAAAAATATACCTAAATAAATAAAAGTATTAAGTTTTTTATCTGTAAGAAGTTTTAATAATTTTAACACAAACGTCAAAGTCATTGTGTACTTCCAATTGTCAAATGTCAATTGTCAAAGTCATCAAAAACTTAAAAATGTTATTTCTAATATGTAGTGCGCACATTAAATAATTTAGAATAATAAGTAAAAGAAAACCAGTTACGCTAATTCATATTTTTCTTACGATACTAAAATGTATTCTGTATATAAAATCAAGTAAGTCTACATTAAGAGACTTGTCTACAAAGCAAGTGATTTTTATAATATTCTAATTTCTATTTAAAATCGCAGGAAGAGGTGCTTCGGAGTCGCACTGTGTAGATTTCTAAGTTCAGCTGAAATCTCCACAGCATTAAGACCATTTTATTTCAGTGTTCATCCAGACCTTTTTGGAAAATATCCAGAGCAAAGGGTATGTATTAAAAGAAAACTATGCACTAAAAATTACAATTTGCTTAGATGAATGCAAAGTTCTTGCTACTGTATGTCTAATGTAAATTCATACAAAATTCGTACACATTTTTATGCTATGAAAATTATTTTCTATATTTTACAGAGAACAAATGAAAACTCATTACAACAGTTAAGTGCTTTAATAGAAGCCCAACAATCTAGTCGAACCATGTCAATACCTGCACTACCTTTTTATTTAAGACAAAAGGATATGCCTGAAGGTAATATAAACAAGAGCAATCCAATGTTAACACTTTCAATGCCACCAACTCACTGGTAGATTACAGTAAATTAGTGGCCTAGAAGGCATTCAATATTTAACATGTTCAATTTGTTTTAGGACAATTTAAATTAGTAAAAATCAAGTTAAACGGAAATAATGTGAGAGAAACAGTGGTCAAAGTGTTAAGTGCATGTGACATATCAACAAATTATGTTGATAAAATACCCGTAAGCACTATGAAACCAGAATTTAGGTAATATAAAAAAATTATCTAAAAAATTTAATTATGTTCACATTCTTTTATTTAATTTATAAAAAATTACTTTAATTGTGAAATATTTTCAGCAAACAAGATTTTAATAAAGCATACCAAGAATATAATGATGAGTTTCAAAATGCTACTCGAATGAAAAGAAAGGTAGAGGAAAGAAAAGTTATTAACAATGTAATGTATGTTATTGTTCAATCATTTTTTTTTTATATAAAAAATGGATATCAGTAAATTCAAATAGATTTGTTTTTTTTTTATTTAGAAGCTGGATTCATGAGAACAGTAGCTTGGCTAAAGAGAAGTATGAATCTACAAAAGCAACCAGAGATCATGTGAAATCATTGATTGAGGATCTATGCAGAACTTATGGTATAAAGGAAGTTGGTAAAGCTATAATAAAACTGTTAAGTCTAATAATTAATTTGATTAGAATTCAATATTTCAAATTCAAAGATAAAATATTAACATTTTTAATTATTTTTTTATTTCAGGTTAAATATGACAGTGGTTGGAATATAAGTCACATAAGGGGAGCTCTTCAGAGTCTTGCTTCGCTCGCTTCACAACATTCAAAGGATATGATTAATTTAAAGGGTTCGTGTTTTTAGGTTATGTGCATTTAAATTCATTTTATTTATGCATTTATGTATATGTAATTTGATATTATTTTTTAAAGGCAGAACTATAGCATTGGGCCAGTTTACTGGAGTAAGCTTGGATGGTGATGTATTTCTTAATATTATTGATGTAAGGAATGAATGGTTATCTGTAAGTACTTTTCTTTAAAATATTTTTTGAACAAAATACTGTACTAGTAAATTTATTTTTATGATAAATTAATTTTTTCAGTTAATTAAAAAGGTTAGTCAAGAAGATAGTGCATTAAGTCAAATACCTAATTACGAGAAAGCTCTGTCTAGAATATTGAGAGATATTCATATATGCAGAAGGTAATTTACATTTTTTTTATTGTGTTACAGCTTGTTAATTGAAATTACTCGGCCATGGAGTAATTGTTGGAATGTTCGTAATTTTTTTATTTGTAGGAAATTCATGCCCAAAGTATCTGCAACTCAGTATTGCAATCATTTGCGACAGTTAATAACATCTATTGGAGACTTCTACGGTTATGGAAAAAAGTTTCCAGCATCGGTACCAGAATCTCTTAGTAAATATGAAATTGTTGTAGAACCGTAAGTAACATTGTTTTATTCTGATTTAATATAAAATATTTCCACATCTATTTTGCACCGATTACATGTGTATTAATTTTCATTAACACTTTCAATGCCACCAACTTGTCCATACCAAAACCACCCAATCATAGTGGCATGAAATGTGTTAAATATTATTTATATTGTTTCATTTTCTTTATTTATTTTATCATATTCTAATTTTAGATTTTCTAGTAATTTTTTGTTTTAATTTTAAAGGGAAGCAGGTCCATTGATGGTGTCGCCGACTGGCCAGTTTATAACGCCGTCATCGTGTCCCGCAGACGAGCTCATTGCCTTCATAGCTAACCATCTTGATGAGGCCATGTTACTTCTCACTGAATATAGCATGTGAGTTTTTAACATAACAGTTTGTGTATCATCTGCCTTATTTCAATTTACAAAAGAAATGTTAGGTAAAATAATCAAACGAAAATTTTATATTATGAATCACCCCTTAGAATCTGGAAAAGCAATTACGCAGACTATTTAGAATGGCAGAAGTTTGCGCTTTTCTTTTCATTTACTGGCCTATTTCAAAATGTCCAAGTAAAGCTACTTTCCATTTATCTGAGGATCTAGATTTTGACGACGAATTAGTTGATTTTTAACAACATTTTACAGTCCATTTATGAAACAAAGTTTATTGGACAAAGAATTTGGTTATACCAGTAGAACATCTTAATCACAAATTAGAAATAGGGATGTAGAGCGAATTATAGTGTTGGGAAAATTCTGTTAAAAAAATCTTTATTGGAAATTTGGTCGAAAGACTATATATATTCTTATATCTTATATCAATCAAATGCGCACTAGTGTAGATATACCTTTAGAACTTAATAAATTATCTCACGATACAAATTATCGATAATCACCTTACGATGCGTATTTCAGAAATAAACATGTAGAGAAAGCGCTGTACGTGGAAGTAAAGGAGCGCTTTGGTCTACTGGAGCTGCACAAAGACGACAGCATCACGCCCGCGCTCATGATCCTGTGCTGTCAGAGATTACTCACCAGGATAGATAAACTCAATACTGTAAGTAAATAGTTTGCAATATGCTATGAAAATCTACAAAAAAATATTATTTACTATCGAACCCAATAATCGATTCCGAAATTGTTTTTAATCTGTCTCTTTTAGTCGTTTTTAATAAAAAAAAATTCTATTACAGAAACTGCGCGGGAATATTCTTTACGTGACACATTATTACTCAGTATTGTCAGAAGGTATCTTGTGTATACCATGGGACTTCAAATAAATCATCTAACTAGTGAAATTTAGAATTAGAAAATTTGACGAAAATATTCTTTAAAAATATAGAAATATTAGTTTTACGGCTAACGCGTATTCGCCCACTTGAAGAGTCCGCGTTAACCTTTAGACTATTTTATTACAACTTTCATTCCTCCACTAATATAGTAATCTGATTTTATTTTTTGATATGTTGAATTCTGTGATATCAAGTTTTAATGTAAAATAGTAAAAAATGCCAGGGGTTCTCAACCTTTTTCACGAATAATTGTTGTAGGGTGTTATAAGCAATCATATTTTCAATTCCACAAAACTTAAGAAAACATCTCGCGAACTGTTGAAATAAAAGTTCTTTAACAGTTTGGGAACACGTGGGATCAAGAGTTAAGCCATAAGAACAGTTATAAAATAGTTGTCATATTTTCATTCCCCACAAGTGATTTGCAACATCTCTATGAAAGTAATAAATGATATATTTACATATATGTATGAAGTTTTGTTTTTGAATATTTTTTCTGTTGCTGAATTGATAATATAGGGATACTAAAACTTATCAAATTTAATTATATTAGGATGAAAGTATTGAATTTGGTGATCTGTTTTTACTACTTTTTAGGAGATTTATTTTTCTTTATATTTTTATGAAAAATCATACAAGACGAATTTATGTTTATAATCATTTAATATACAGTTTTAAAGAGATATTTATAATGAAAATTATCAGTCTAAGCAATAATAATGACATCCCAAATTTGAAATTATCTTGCTATTAAAAATACAAAAAAGCAAAAAGTAACCACATATAAAGCAAATATACACTGTACAAGAAATTTATGTTTATTATTAAACATTTTTAATAAAAATAATCACTTAAAACATATACATCCTCACAGTTAATTGTGAGTGTAAAGTGAAAACATAATGTCACATTCCGGAGACTTGTTAATTATCTACATTATAGTGCTTTATTTTTACATTTTAACTGCCAAATATTGGTTTAACATATTCAAACTATTACTAGAATTTGTATAGATTTTATTGTATGCCTTAATTTTAGATTATTAAATTAATATAAATTACACACTTACAAATGAACTTAGTATTAAGAATCGGAAATATGTACATTGACTTATACAAACAAGCACCGAACCTACAATATAAACGCTTGACACCTTCAAAATATTAGTCACGACGTAACAAATACATTATGTAAAAACCTAATTACATATGATATTAATTGATACTTGTAAAATGTACAAAAAATAAGACACATAGAATTATTTTAAAATATTAACATGACACAATGGCAGTGAATATTTTAAAATCTTAAATCACAAAAATGTTAATATTTAGAGTTTAATGTGATACAAATTTAAAAGTTAGCCGCAGATCAAAAATATTTAACTAGATTCCTTTCCATTTTGTCTTTTTACTCTAAATATATACATTTTACAGGATGTTATAAGTAATTTGAAAAAGTTCAATTAAAAAACTCCAAGATAAATATTGATAATAAATAAACATTGAGTATTAAAATGAGATTGAGCGTTGAAATTAAAAATAAAGCTATATATCAGTTTTTCTTGTTCTGTTGTATGATAACAAGCTTGTTCCTTTCCTTGGTGACTTTGGCAACCGGCATGTTGGTGGCCGGCATCAGTTGCCTGAGATTCTGACTCGGTATTACAGGACCCTAGAATCAAAAATAGAATCATAGAAACAAAATCTAGACCAAAATAAGTGTAGAAACAATATTATTTTAAAAATGTAGTTGTCACATTAAATAAAATGGTTGTCTTATAACTAATGGTCTATTGGCGCATCAATTTATTAGAATTAGAGTTTGTCTATGGGTCAAATATCACGGTCCCACTTTTTTCCTATATATTTTCTTTAAAAAAACAGGTATAAAGTTTTCACTCGATTTATTAATATTATTTAAACGTAGACTTACCGCAGGATACCTGGCAAGTTGGCGCATACGGTCAACGAGCCGCATTGCGTCATCCGACGTCTCCGAATCTGTTGTTAGTCCTAATGATAGAGCTCTGTCGTTTATGATACCTGCATCTAAACATCTGTAAAAAAGGAACAAATCAAATAAAATAACTTCTATGTATCCTAATGATATGGGTAAAGGTAAGGATATAAGGAAAAATGTACCTAGTGTGTTGTGGTGGGCGTGGTCTGTGCGCGTGTCGCCAGGCGCTGGCTGCGCGCGCGCGCCACGCCGCCGCCTCCGCCGCAGCCGCCGCCGCGCCCGCCTCCAGCGCTGCGCACGCGCCGCGCAAGTCTACCACCTGACACATACCAAAACAATATTTCTGAGGGCACACTTTGGATTAGTTAAAAGGACTTGAATATCTAACAGTGTTCCCGTGCAATTAGAATGTGGGTGCCTTCAAGAGTGGGGTGAATACTCATTTTCTAGTGTGTACCATTCTTCCACTACATCACAACTTACCATTGGATACGCTTATAACACTTATTGAACATGAAAAACTAACAAACACTATGTAAAATAACGTATTCATCCTTACCTTTTCAAAATACCTATAGAGTAATGACTTCATTTCGTCATGAGACAGCTTGTCCAGCCTGGCCATCAGCATCTGTTCACCTCGAGTCCGTGACTCTTTGTTCTCCTGTGAATCTGACAGCGAAGCAGCCGGCGATTTGCCACAGATTAAATTATTTTTATATTCTATCGCTGTATCTATTGCTTCTATAGCTTCTTCACACTCAAGTATTTTTCTTTCCTAAAAATATATTTACACATTTTATGAATTTATTGATAGCTTTCAATAGCTTAATACTGTATAAATTTCATATATAAGGCGAGCAAATGAAGATGGATACAGCTAACACACTTACATTAGTCCAAAATTGTATATAAATATATATCATATTAAATTAATTAACTACATACCTCAGAGTCAGATAAAGACTTGTATATTTTCCTCTTATGTCCCAAACTACATCTCTGTTCATGTAAACATTCCCTTGTTTTACGTAAATTTTTGATTTCCTTCCTAAGTAAAAGCTCCTTATCTTTAGATAATTCTAAATTTGCCAAATCCTGGGTCTTTTCTTTTAAAATACTATCTAACTGTGTTATTCTATTTGTGAAATGTTTTAATGTATGTGCTTTTTTGTCTTTCATGTCAACAGAAGTTTCTGATAATTCATCTAATTTTAGTTTATCTTTAACTAGTTCTACATCTAAAGTATTTCTTCTTTTTTCGTCTTTCTTAATTTGTCTTTTGATTTGGTCAATTTGTTTCTTATATGTTTTCAGGTTTGTTTCGTGTCTTTTTATCTCTTTGATAGCATCTTGATCACCTAATCTACATTCAAATTTATCTGTGTAAATTTTATTTGGATTATTAATACATATTGCCTTTGTTAAATCATTAATCAATCTTTCTTTGGCAATACAAAGATTAATCAACTCCTTAAGTTGTGTCTGACTACTACTTATTTCCTTTGAAATTTTCCTTGCTAAAATTTGTTTCTGAGCATATTTTTCTTTTGTCATTTTATACTTCTTACATAATTCAGCAGTCTTTGGAGAATCAATCATTTTAAGGAGTTCCCTTTCTATCAATTTTGGTTCCGGATCTACATCTTTTTTATGAGATTCTATAATTATTTTTTGAGATTCTGGTGATATAGCTTTAGCTGCTACTTTCCTTAACAACTCTAGTTCCGCTCCAGATAAGCTCTCACCTGGCTGGATTGTTCTTCTCCGTCCTGAATTTGACTGTGATGTCATTATTGGCAGAGATTGTGAACCACTGGTCTCCGAAATAGTAATATCATCTGAATCAATATGATTTAAATATTCTTCACATCTTTCAGCAAACAGCTGATCATTTTTTTCTCTAAAGTAATCCATATATTTCTCAACCTTATCCTGAAATACTGTTTCTGAATGACTGTCTTCCGAATCTGATTCATCATCAGACTCACTTGGTTCACTTGGCTCAGTATCCTCTGCTATTCTTGGTAACCCTTGTTTTGTAGCAACATCTTTATTATCACCACCAATATCTCCATTTAAACACTCATCACATTCAGCTTTTAAAAACAACCACTCACTAACTTGATTCATATCCGTCTCTGATAAAGACTTTGATTGTAATATCTTATTGAACAATCCCTCTGCATTCGAGACTAGTTTTATCCATTGAGTTGTTGCAAATTGTAAGTTAAAGCTGTTGTCAGCTGGTAGAACACTTTTTTCTGTGTACACAGGAGTGTTGTTATCAGCAAATAAATTTACAGTAACAAAATTTTTGATACCTCTACAACATAGACATATATTTAAAATTTTTAAAGTATCTTGGTAGTCCTCTGGCTCTGTACTTATGCAGCCAATAACCCAAGTGAATGCTCTACCACCAAATGAATCACGCAGCATCGCTGTGAGGATGCACTGGTCATAGTTTATTTGCTTAGGAGGATTTCCAGCTACCAATTCTTTTATAATGTTCTCTAAAGCGAAGAGACTAGGCTCAGGATATGCAGCTAGATCACAGAAACTAGCTGTGGACATTCTGTGATTAAGAACACCATTTGTGCCCACCCATTTTTGTTCCATGCTTACTGTAAACACTGTATGGTTGTTTCCTAAACACCTTTGTCTCCATCCTAGTTGTAGATATTGAAACGCTTCTTCAACATTACAACACCTAACTAATCCAGCTCCCAGCACATCAAATATATTATTATTGACAACTTGCATCCATGTAATGTGTAATATAAATTCTCTTTCTGGCATTTGACTAAGCTTGTGAAAGATATCAGTAAGGAATCGTGGAATTATTCCTTGGTCACACTCACTATGTATGCATTCAAAACCTAAAATGTAGATATAATTTAAGTTATTGTAAAATAATTTTCAGCTACTTTAAAAACATTTAGTACTCAACAACAAGAAATAGAGAATATAGCTGAATAAGCAATAAATGAATTAAGTTGCAACACATACCTGGTCCAAATAAAGTGTAAGTTTTTCCAGTCCTTGCTTGGCCAAAAACTACTACTGATGTGTCACATCCATCCAGAAAACAGTTAATTTGTGGTATCATAAATGAGTTAAACAGATGTGCTTGGGTACAATCGACTGGTAGAGCTCTGTTGACGTGAAAAGTCTGGCCACTTTCAGTTATCACTATTTGGGTCACTGGATTACTAAATATACACTGCAAAGAGTCTGCAATGCTTGGAGGTTTAAGGCGGATCGCTATTTGCACTGGTATATCCATTTTAATGATTTTTACGCTTCGTAAATAAAAACCCACAAAGCTTTCACTTGAATCTTTTATTATAACATATTTGGTACTCGTTTCATACGATTTTTATATCTGCAGCCTTTTATGATAGGAATTTACTAAAGTAGTAACTTGATTCTCTTATTTTGTTAGTTAGTTATTACTTAAAAGATATTTATATTGAAATTCCAAGTCCATGAAAAACAATTAAGTAAACATTGTCGAAATTTTGACAGCACAATTTTTACCAAAGCCCAAGCGCACAGAGTATAAAATTAAAAATTTCAACGATCGGGAAGAGAGAGGAAAACATTGAACCAGTTTGCACAGCTAATAATCCTCTTTTGATTTTATTTGTTACATCTCCAAACTAATTAAAACAAAAGTAATTCATATAGAAAAGAAAACAATGTAAAAAACATTTATTTGATATTTGGTAGGTTAAGGTAAATAAGATTGGCAACTGGCAACTTTCCGCAAACGTCAATGTCATTTGAAATTAAAATTTTCAGTCTTTCAGTCAACTCGTCAGTTCCGTCAGTTTCCTAATTTTCTTTTAGTCATTTCATTATTTTCGAGATATTTTTGTCTTAGTAGAATTGTATTGCCATGATTTCTTACTATACTTTGGACATAATTTAAATTAAAGAATAATTTAAGAAATTGGATTTCTAATACAGGACAATGGTTGTTATACAAGATAATAAGATGGATTTCGAAGTTATAGGTGATCAAGAATTGGGCCTTGATAAGCCTCCTAAATTAGGCCTAAAATTATTTTTAAATCATAAGTTTCCTCTTAAGAGTAAACAAAATATTGTACTGAGACCCAAGCAAATGTTTGAAATGATGCCACTTTCAGCAAGGTATGTAATTTTTTAAATATTGTGAAGTTTATGCACATTTTGCATGGCCCTGCACATGTGTGGTCATGAGCATTGACTCAATTTCTCTGTAATATTCTATGTACAAGCAGATAATGCAAGCTTTTCTACTGTTTTAACCATTTCATGGTTATAATTTTCCAAATATTATTACAGGTATCTAAAATATTATGTAGGAAAGAGAATGCAAAAGAAGCGTCCAATAATGGACTATGTCAATATGATATCAGCACAGAGAATGTATGGTAAGGAATTTTAAGTACCAAATGTATACAATATCTACTAAGACTAAACTAATGGACATAGTTAAAATTGTATTTGTTTTACTACTTAGCTTTTGCTACTTATTTTGTAACCTAATTATGTAAATTTTAAATTATCATAATTGTGTCCTGCAGGTTGTCCCATTGGAGGTATAGGAGGTGGTACAATTGGCAGAGGGTTCAAAGGTGAATTTTGTCGGTTCCAATTGTTCCCTGGTATATATGAATATGTAACAGTACCAGAATGTCAGTTTATTGTTAACATAAGAAATGCCAAAAATGAAACAATATATCAATCAGTTTTGTCAACTTATAAGTGAGTATCATTATTACAATGTTTTTATGAACTTCATTCTCCACAATTGTAAATGATAATAAATAAACATTCCTAATTATTTACATTCTTGGTTGCCAGTCTCATTATGAAAAGATAAAGAAGCAAAAATACTGGTTGGTATGTTTATTGATTTATTCTGTAACTAATATTTTTTTTATTTCAGAAAACCAAGAAAGGCACCTGCCAGTTGGGAATGGAACCTAAAAGGTTCTGATTGTGAGTACACAGCCCTGTACCCTCGTGCTTGGACAACATATGACTTATCTAAATATGGAATTAAATTAGTTTGCAGACAAATATCACCTGTGATACCTCATAATTATAAGGTACTAATATACAATAGTAGTGTAAAAATAGAGGTGTATTATTACGTCAAAACTTAAATTATTTTTTATTTTTTGTAGGATAGCAGTTTACCGTGTGCAGTATTTGTGTTTTCTGCGAGCAATGTGTGCAATGAACATCGTGATGTTAGCATTACATTTACATGGACGGAAGTGTTAGGTGGTCCAAACAAAAAGAAGAATATTGGTAAGTAATACTGTTAAATATCTTGTATTATTGCTACTATAGGTTTCTTGAATGTACATGAATTATGGTATACTAGGATCACGGCTGAAGAAAAAATGAGGAAATCTTTATGAGTTTCTACTTATCCCTTTTATCTAACTGTTATATGTTCTTATACAAATTAGTTGCTAATATAAATTTATAATTGAAAGTTACCTATTATGTAAAGAACTTCATAGTATATTATAATTTTTTCATTAGAAAGCAGGTGTTCAAATTACGAATACTATCATCAAAACAGCTGATTAAAATGTCAAAGATATTGTTATACTAGTTGATTATCCACCTTATATCTTAACATGTTTATCTTAAGAACTATGAAGTAATTAATTATTTAAAAAAAATTGTGTAATGTGTATACATCAAAGTATAAACAGCAGACCCTAAGCGGACACCTCTATGAGCGATATAAGTATTGCCTTGGACTCTTGCTTATCTAGGTACGACTGTCTTTTCAATTTTGTGTCTATATATATAAAAATCAATTGCTGTTCGTTAGTCTCGCTAAAACTCGAGAACAACTGAAAGGATTTATCTTATCTTGGTCTTGAAATGTCCGTGGAGGTGTAGGGAAGGTTTAAAAGTGAGAAAAAATGGAATAATTGCCGGGAAAGCCCTAAAAACAGTCTTTTTCTATTCCCATATAAACAGCTGAATGGATCTCGCTGAAACTTGGCGTATATGTAGAACAGAGTCTGAAAGGACATAGACTAATATGTTTTTTTTCATTACGCGCGGACCGAGTCGCGGGCTACAGCTTGTTAAAGATAAATTGAATGCTTTGATATTTAATATCGCAATAATCAGATAAAACTTACTAATCTTGTTTATTATGTCCAGATAAGTTAGAGTTTTTGTTTTAGTCTAGCGTGATGTATTAGTGTAATAAATGAGTCATATTTATGATTCATAAGTGATGTTATTTAAATGTTACAAATCTGTATATAGGATGTCCCAAAAGGTTACGTACATAGGAAGGGGGATGATAGGGGTGGTCACAAGGGTCACCAGAAAAATAAAATAAAAATTCCCCTCTGGGTATTAAAAAATGTAAAGGGCATTTTTTAAAAACTTAAAAATTTTACACCTTCTAGTGCAATTTTGTAACCGATGACCTACAAATATTGCTATATTTATCAATATGAAATAAAAAAAACAATACAACTAACAAAGATTTTAAAGAAAATGGGACATCCTGTATAAGTAGGTGAATAAAAATATTGTCATGCCACCTGCACATATCAGGGTAGTAATTCAAAGATATGTGTGAAGTCAACCCGCACTCGGCTAGTGTGGTTAACTATGACCTAGTCACTCCTAACTTAAGCTCCGAGCCCCTCAGTGGGAACATATATAGAGAGCTGTGATGATGATGCATATACGAAAAAGTTATAGTATATTGAGTAGTTTGTAGGATATCAATTTCTAGTAGAATTTCTAAATATGTCAGTTAAGTTGTAAGGTTGTAAAGTTAAAAAAAATCTCAGCTGATATAATTTTGAAGACAATAGAAGTTTGGAAATAATGAGAGGTATAGTAAGACTGGAATAAAAAAGCACATGGATTTAATGTATTTAATGTGTATTTTAGGTAAATTAGATTTAGAAAGATATTCAGAGGAATATAGTTGTGGTGTAACATTGGAGCAGAAGATAGCCGACAATACGTGCGCTTTTACAATCGCAAAACGGAAATGTGATAAAGAATCCATTCACCAAGGCTACTGTTTATGGAACTCTACTAAAACTTCCTCGTATGTATGGGATTGTTTGAAAAAAAATGGAAAATTGCAACCAGATCCGAGTCTAACTCCTCCGCCGCCTAATTTATCCGATAAAAAAACAGAGACCGAGAATAAAAATAAAAAGAAAGAAAAACCTGGGAAAATTTATAAATGTAAGTTATTTTTATTTTGTTGCTCTTGTATCTTATTTGAAATTAATCTTTTAAAGATTAATATTAATTGCAGCAGATCAATTGATTGGGTAAGTATAGTTCATTTCAAAATAGATCAGTCATATCTTAATGCTGTGCGTCTACTGGCAATGTAAAAATTGTGTATTTATGTTTTGGTTTCATTTTGCAGGTGATTCAATAGGGCTCTCTAGTTGTATAAGTCTGGACCCCGGGGGAGTGGGCTCTACGGAGTTTGCACTCGTCTGGGACATGCCTGTGATAAAGTACAAAAATGATAAGAAAACACATAAAAGGTATGTTTATAAATATAACTTCGAACTTGTATACTTAAATATGAATGTATGTATGGATGGACATGGATCTCGATTAAATTTAGCTAAGATGTAGAACATAGTCTGGAATAACACATAGGCTGGTAATCATTTTTTTTTATTCAGTGCGGATGTAGTCGCGGGCGACAGCTCGTTTTAAAATAAATCGAAAATAAACTAAGTGATTATCCTCCCATTAGGGAATGAATGTACATGTGTATGCAATAGTATTTATTTTGTTGTCATTAATGTTTGTAGGTATTATACAAAGTACTTTGGCAGCGACGCTATAGCCGGGGCCAGCATAGCTGCTTACGCGTTAAGAAATTATGAAAATTGGGAAAAACAAATTGCTGAATGGCAGGAACCGATTTTGTCAAACAGGTATATTAACTTTCTTCCGTGTTAAAACTGTTTGTAAGTGTATATATAATAATTAAAAATGATTTTCCAGCAACATCCCAGACTGGTTGAAAAGTGCCTTAATGAACGAGCTTTATTTTGTAGCCGATGGTGGAACTATTTGGTTTGATGTCCGGGATGAATATCCTGAAACAGATCCGAGGTAATTATAATAACATTTATAATCTAAATAATATTATTTTTAATGACATAAATTAATTTTGTTTTTTTTTATGTGACATTTAATTATAACAGACATGAATTTGGTGTGTTCGGATACTTGGAAGGACATGAGTACAGAATGTATAATACATATGATGTACATTTCTACGCCTCCTTTGCGATAGCGCAGCTCTGGCCCAATTTACAGGTTAGTCACTTTAAATAGGGAAAAATAATTTCAAATTTTTAATATATATCTCAAAATTGTTCCTTTATAATTTCAGGTTGTGCTGCAATATATGTTCCGAGATTCTATACCAATGGAGACGGTGAAATGCAGACAATCTCTATATGATGGGAAATCTGTTAAATTTAAAATCAAGGACTCCATTCCGCACGATTTGGGTGACCCAGGTAAGGTATTTGTGATTGGTATAAAAAAAAACTGACATGTATCACTAAACCGTTTTTAATAACTACATATTTAATTTGTGACACAGAGGGCGCGCCGTTCACCAACATCAACGCGTACAACATCCACGACGTGAGCGAGTGGCGCGACCTGAACCTCAAGTTCATCCTGCAGGTGTGGCGCGACCACCGCCTGCTGCGCGCGCACTGCCCGCCCTTCGCCGACGACCGCTGTCGCACCATGCCCTACATCGACGACGTGCGGGACGACGACGCGGACGACCTGTACGCGCGCTCCACCGGACAGGCCGTTGACCTCGCCACCGACGTCGCTCCGCCCACCGCTCCGCCCTCCGCCCCGACCTCCGCTCCGCCTCGCCCTCGCAACATCCTCGACCTGCTGTACAGCGGCGAGCCGGTCGAGGAGGCGGAGGGGGAGGCGCGCCCGCAGCCGGAGGCGGGGGGCGGGGGCGCGGTGTGGAACGCGCGGCTCTACCTCGCGCACATGTACCCCGCGTGCGCGGCGCTGCTGCGCAAGGCGCGCGCTTGGGACACCGACGGAGACGGACTCATAGAGAACGGCGGCTTCCCGGATCAGACGTACGACGCTTGGGTCATGAAGGGACCGAGGTAGGCTTACGCATTATTAGTTATGTCTAATACACATTCTTTTCTAATATCTTGGCGGTTTAAGGTCATGTGCGCGCCGTGCATTATTTTCCTCTCCCATTCCGTTACACTTATAATTGTGTTTTGCGTAGCGAATCGAAAAGACTTATACAAAGTATTAACGTATGTTTCTTTACGTTTCAGTGCATATTGCGGAGGGCTGTGGGTGGCGGCGGTGAGCGCGGTGTGCTCCATGGCGCGCACTCTGGGCTTTGAAGATGACGAAAAGGAGTTCTCCAAACTTTTAGAACAAGCGCGCAAATCCTACGAGGAGAAGCTGTGGTCTGGTTGCTATTATCGTTTCGACACCCGTCCCTGCAACCGTAACGTGGTAATGGCGGATCAATTGGCGGGACATTGGTAATTGTTAATAATATTTTACGTATTTTATGATATTTAAAAAAAATTAATACATAATAGGTCGACAATATTTTTAAGGCCATTAAGCTGGATATCGATATGGTTACATGGGCAGGTTCCTCCGTGCGTCCGGTTGTACGGAGCAGGTGTTCCCCGAGGCGAACGTGAAGAAAGCGCTGCAGACTATATACGACAACAACGTGGTGCGATTCGCGGGGGGCAAGCTGGGCGCCGTCAACGGGTACGTGGTGGGTGCGGGGGGCGCGGTGGGTGCTGGGGGTGCTGGGGGTGCAGTGGGTGCGGGGGGCGGCCACGTGGACACGACGGCGCTGCAGAGCGAGGAGGCGTGGACCGGCGTCACATTCGGGCTGGCCGCACTCATGATATACGAAGGTAAATCTTCATCTCACTAATATTATAAATAATGTCTTGATGGACAGGTTACTCCAAACCGGCTTTACATTCCCTTTGGATGAAAATTTGAACAAAAATGAAGTATAGCCCAGATTATTAACTTTTTTTACTTCCACGTGGTTTTTAAAAGATCAACGGCTAGTAAGTTTAAAATTTACGTCAGTTCAAAAAAATACTTCTTCTCCAGTGTACCGTTTTAATATTGTAATATTAAATGGTTCCAGGTATGAACGAGCAGGCGTTCGCGACTGCAGGCGGTATGTATAACACAATGTCACAAATGGGCCTCTCCTTCGAGACTCCGGAGGCGTTCTATGAGAACGGCAACCACCGCTCTATCGCGTACATGCGACCACTGTCTATATGGGCCATGTACCAGGCCATAACTGCCCTGCCTCAGCAACCAGTCTCGCTGCCCAACGGACAACCTCCTCATGCCAAACTTAACAATCATTTATAATATTTATTCAATATTTATTAACAATTAAACAAATTACTGAGGCCTGGTCACCTCTAAGTTGGTTAAGTTCCGACCCTCTAAGTGGGGTCATAATATGAGCTGACGATGTCAACGAAAAAGATGCGTCGTAATCTAGTCTTAGGCGATCTACTCAGTAGGTTTGGTTATCAGGATTGTATTTAACGTGTTAAAACACGAGTATTGCCTGTTGTCTTAAGCGATTACTGACTTATGGCGACTAAACCTTTTTGAGACGCTTCGTGTCAAATTACGTTTGGCGCTCAATAAGGACAACGGATCACGACTATTAGAGCGAAATACACGCAACATGATTAAAATCAGTATTTTAACATGAATATTATAAAATAATTAACATGTATGCGTGATTTCGTGCGGTAGATGAACGAAACCAGTTGTATTTGTCGCAATAAATATTATTAGAAAATTTTATGTACACAATTTTTTTCTATTTATTAATTTAATTGTGAATACTAACCAACTAAGACTCAAGTGTATTAATTTTATTCAGTCGTGACATGTATGGTTTTTTTTTAATTCGAAAATGTCTTCCGAAAAAAAAAACTATTAGCACGAAAGGGAAATCTAATAATTCTAACACTGGTATTATAATTTATATTAATGCAATATAATCTGCGACAGAGTTGTCACCATACTCTTCAGGAATCCAAGCGTGAAATGTGTCAAATCCCTAATACGTTGCTTTTATATACTGAGTCAAAAAGGCAACCGTACTCATTACTTTAACCTTTGCAATGTTTTTAATACACTTGAGTCTGACTTTAGTTACCATTATTTGAATTGTTTTTAAACTTTTTTTTAAATATTTTGAATGTGTTTTTTTTATTTGAAATGACGTACAATGTATTTAAGATCAACTCTACTTCGAATTGTGCTAAATATTTTTATGAAATTACTGTTATAAAAGACAAAAAATGTGATATTTTGTGCTAATGTGTTACAAAACTCGTGTAATTTTATATTGAGACGTCTTTTACTTTTTTTTTACATCTAAATGAAATAACTCAACGAAGTGGGTGATCTTTTTATATTTCTATGATAATGTGTTAAAATATTTTATAGATATACTGCCGCTAAAGTATTTGGAAATGTACAAAAATCAATTTAAAGGAGATTATTATTATTTCCATTTAATCGTCAGTATTTTTTTTTTATTTTAATGTAGGTGACAATTGGTAATTTTTTTAACTTTAACAATGCAAATTAGAATAATCGGCTTGTATTTTATTTATTTAAAACTCCTTTGAGGAGAACAAGGTATGTAATAAAAGAAAAATTTGACTTAAAACATTTATTCATGAATGTAGGCAGATATAAATGCATTTTGGGAAAGTTAAACATAAAAGTGCTAAATAAAATATTTTTAAAAACACAATGCTTTTTTTCTTCTTCCTATTTCAAGTTTTTCATAACTTTATTTTACAATAACACTAGTTGTCGCCCGCGATTCCGTCCGTGTGAAATAAAAAAAAAATAGATGTTGGCCGATTCTCAGACCTACTTAATATGCTCACAAAATTTCATGAGAATCGCTCAAGACGTTTCGGAGGAGTATGGGAACGAAAATTGTGACGCGAGAATTTTATATATAAGATATACTAAGGCGATATATTTGTACCTTTCAACATTTTTTTAAAGATACAATGACAATAAATAAAACCTCTACGAACTCTAAATCTAATATGAGATACATTTATGTACAAAATATTTACACAACGTTGATTCGGAGTATGTTTTCAGTCTTTGTTTTGCTAATGCAATGCTAGAGTAGCAATGAGATTAATATCACTCGAAGTAATAAAAAATAAGAAGATTCTAGATTAACTGTAGGAAATACTTCTATATTTAAATCTGATTTATGGTCCAAAAGTAATTGAATGTCTTTGGAATTTAATACCAAGATTGTATGCCACGAAATAGGCGTTGAGGAGAAATCAAATCATACCATTAACCGTGATTTGACTATCAAAACGCAATTACATTTTAGTATGTCGTTATCTCTGTCGTTACAAAAAGAATAAAAGAGATGACAATGCTATTTTACAAGTGTTTCTTTAGTTGTCTATGTGTGCGTGGCTGATATGTTCATGTACATGTGGGCGGGGTCACGGTCGTCACAGCGAGCCGCAGATCGCTCGCGCGCACGGAACTTGAGCCGTAGGTGCGTACCGCTCGCCTCATTCTCATCCAGTCTTTCACGAGATGCGGACGCTTCGCGCTCTACTATCGTAGCCATATGCTGACCACCCCTAGAAATAAACAAAATTAAATTTAAGTAAGCATAGCGCTAGTAGCAGATTGGGTATTGCGCCTACTGTTATCATCTAATCCAGGGATTTGATGAGTATGAGACTACGAGTGATGGTCTCTGCATTGCTAGATTTTATTTTATACATGTAAACAGTAATATTGACCTGTTGTCATGCTTGGGATGTCCGAAGGTAGTGAACTGCGGCGCACCATTGAGCGGGCGCGGCGGTGGCGGGATCAGGTAATCATCCAGTCTGCTGTCCTCGCAAGCCGTGTGCATCGTCAGCGTACTCGTACTAGACGATATCTGGACGAAATAAACCGATTCATTAACACGGACCCACTAGGGTTTCTACTATATTTAGGCTCGCTAGCAGAGACGTCGACAGTGCTCGAGATAAATTAATAAGATTTAGCTGACTTACAATAGACCTGGCGTGGGCGTCGTGCTCGGACTGCACGCTGGTGGTGTCTGCAGCGCTGCCGCCGCTCACTGTGCTCAGGCGACCCGATGATGATGAACCTTAGATATTATTGCATTTATTTAAACAAAATTGCGGAAGTTACAGATAAACGATCGTGTTTTACAATACAAATTGCAGTCAAGCTAAACAACATTTCGTCCATTGACCAAAACTAAGAAATTTGTTCCAAGTTTTCAGTTTTAATTTGGTCCCTTTGAAAATGTAAAGACATACTTACTGTCGCTTAAACTACTGTTAGGTCTCGTGCTTCCGTTCCTTTTCTCAATTGTGCCCGTATTGCTGTCGTGATCTGGAAATTGCATAACATTGTACTTAATAGCATAGTAAATTGTGTCAGTCAAAACACAAATTTAATAAAACATTGGAACTTACTTTTGTTTTTGCTCTTCGAAAACATTTTCTTAACTCGGTCAAATGGTGTTGGCCTTTTCAATTTCTCCTTTATCTTCTGTTGAATTTTGTCATACTCTTCACGCATTTTATTCAATTGCTCTTGTTTTTCTTTAAGGGACTGTTGAGTTTCGTTTCTATTTCTCCATTCCATAACAAGTTTCTCCACTTCAGATATTGTAAATACATTGTTTTTAAAGTCATTAATAATTTCTGCTAACTCCTCTTGTCCCGTTAAAGGGCAACATTCTTTGCTAGATTTCATGCTGCCGCTACTACGCGCATCTTTGGTATTTAGGTTGATTTGGCTAATATCACTCGTTGGGGTTTCTATGTTGAAAGTCTTATTGCTTTCTTCGGTGGGTGAGTACAGGAATATTTCCGATTGATGAGGCAACAGACGAGAACTATTCGCGTACAAGTTATTTGGTCGGAATTTGGGACTGTCCTCCACTTTTATATTAGACGGCTGTACTAAGTAATCGTGTTCGATGGCTTGCTGTATTCTTCCCGCGGTGTCGTCGTGTGGCATAAAGTCGTTTTGATAAAATTGTTCTTTTACGTTGGGTAGTTTTAAATTTGGCCTATGTTTTTTCCCAGTTTCCTCTGACATTTCCGATTTCACTTCGTTCTCTTCCAAGTTTTGAGTGCAAGCTTCACTGAAAGGATCCGAGGATTGTTCCTCTAAGACCTTAGCTTCCTCATGGCGCGGAGAATCAACCGTATCGCAATTCTCTACGATTCTTAATTCTTCTTGTTTTTCATCTTCTTGTCCATCCTCTTTGTCATTATCGGACATATTTTTCAAATAATAATACATATTTGAGAATTCGTTTATTTTCTGAAAATAAAAACGAAATTAAGCAATCTGACTGATAAATCGACTTGATGATGTAGTTCACATATGAATAAGAGTAGGAAGAATCTCACCATGTGATCCGCGAGCATGTCAGCAAGGCGCAGATGCCTGTGGTCGCGCGCGAGATCTGCGGGCGTGCGGCGGCGCGCGTTGCGGAGCGCTGCGGCCGCCGCACCGCCCGGACACTCCAGCAGCTGCCAGCACACGCGCTCCAGCCCGAACCGCGCCGCCCAGTGCAGCAGCGTCGGGTACTCCTCGTTACCTGCGCACATACATATACAAATAAATGACCTCGACTAAATTTTTGGGTAAAGCAATATTTTCTATACATCAGAAGCAAACGAACCAACGCTGTCATCACTACCCGTAAACGAGTAGGGGAAAATTTATTTCCCTTAATATACATACGTCCCCTACCCCAAATCCACTTTCTCAGTTGGGAAGATCATTAGTAATTGGAATTAAAATTAGAAGCTAGTTGTAAACTTTTTTCTTTTAAATGTTGTGATTTATTGCAGTAAAATAAAGAAAACTCCCGTTTACTTACTGCAAACGTCGGCTTTAGGATTAAATTGCTCGGTAGATGAAAGCAAATTGAAATGCGGCGGAATATTTTTCTGAAAGGCACTTAGCATCCAGCTATCCAGCTGCTCCTTGTTGGTCGTTTTAAATCCAAGTGTCTGCAAGAATAAATATGAATTAATGGATTTGGACATGAAGATAAATTATGTCATATATCGAATAGTAGAGACATACATTTTACTTATATGTTGGTAAAATAGGTAAACGTATATGTTACCTGGCACATGAACTCTAGGGGATGGTCGGAGGCGCGCAGCAGCTGGTCAAGCTCGCGCAGACGACTCTCGCACTTGATCTGCCGCCGCCCCAGAGACTGGCCGTTCTTGCTGACGCGCACCCACACCAACATCGACACCTCCAGGCACGACTCTACAAGTAACAACAAAGTATAGATATTTTACAAATTAACTACCGCATTGAAAATCGGTCACAAATACCTATATTCCTACTTGTACTAAAGTGACCTATATTTTAAGATTCGATTGCGATAATAAAAATAAGTTTACATAGATTTTCACGGTTCGTCAAGTCTAGTATCACGTACCATAGAAATCAACCTTTAGCTAGAGGATAAATAATATTGCTAAAATACTCTAAAAATGTGACTTAAATTCTCATTAAGTACGTCTATATTTATACTATTTATTAACTTAATGTAATAATACCTGGTATATCAAATTGTAGCGTGTATGGATTTCTCTTCTTGAACGTCGGTATGTTTATAACTTCTCCTTTCTTGTCCACCATTATTTTTATACTATCTTCTTCCCTTATAGGATCGTTGAGTAACGCTATGACGCGACTTTGACCCTGAGTACGAAACAACATTTAAGTAAATAAAATAAATTAATTCATCCATCTGATTGTAGCAGTTAGTTTTAAAACAAAATTAAAGTGTAAACTACAAACTACGTATTAACTAAACATTCCTTTAGGGTTTCTCATGACATATATTTGATTTTATTTCTTGTACTTACAATTTTAACTTTCTTCGGTACAATAGAGAAGCTAGTTCTATCCGCAGCTGTGTCTTTACAGTCTTTGGTTCTCAAAATACCAACTGCAGCGGTCAGAAAAGTGTCGACGAACGAAGTATCTTTCTCGCGTACTGACATCATCTGCCATTGATCGATTGAAGGGTAGTCTGTAAAAACGTTTCGATATGTTAAATACATGTATTCAATTTTCTTTATTATTGTTTTTTCAAAGAGAAAAAGAATTACGGCTGAAAAGAATTATGTGTTTGTATAGGTTTCCGTTTTCACAGACATTTAAAAAAGAAATGTTTACCTTCACAATTATTTGATATGACATTATTTTTTTCAACTCCCAGCAGCATTACTAGTACTTTTTCTACTTTAAATAAATTCTCAGTGTTCAACTCTCGTTTTAGGTCTGACAATTTGGTATCCAGATTGGGACACAGTATAACAATTTGTAGCTGTGCTTTGGACAGTTTGTCTAACTTTTCCTGTGACTCTGATGATAAAAGTTCCTCAGCTGTTATCGGTGTTACTCTGTTACAACATAAAGATATAACATAATTAAAGATATTATGGAAAAACAACACAAAGATATATAACTTGAAGAAAAAATGTTTTCCATAAATTACGTATTTCCAATTAATTGGAGAAAGAAAAAGCCTTAGTATTCAAATAACACGTTCAAAGATATAATGATAATTTAAAAGTCATATAAATGAAACTCATTGTAAAAGTTTCGGACTATTGAACTCAAAAATTAAAATAAACAAAAAAAGGATTAAATTCAAAGTCAAAATACCTGTAAGAAAAATTGTCTATGTTTTAAGAGGAAATGAGAGATGACAATATGTTTTAACAGATCCATTTCGACAATGAAAACCTACCAATCAAAAATTACAACACATCTTTTACATAGTTACCTGTAGTGATGCCTGGCTCTCTGCGACATTATCTTGTCAAAACTGGCCACCAGATACTCCGACCACAGCGCGCTCTCCGGCGACCCTGAGCTCCACAGGATCGCTATGTCTTCCATCTCTGTAACAACACAAATTAATTTAAATAATATGTTGGGAAATTTGCTCCTTTATGAGTTTAATTCTCTCTCTCTCTCTCTGTGTGTGTGTGTTTGTGTGTGTGCATCGTTTTCGCATTTCTGAGTATCGCGACCTCTCTTTGACCATCTCTCCTAGACTGTTTCTCAACTCTATGCAATTCTCGACGATGAGGATGGCATTATGCATCGTGTGAGTTTAATTCCATGAAAAGTAAACGACAAAGTATTGCAGAAATGGCATATATTGCATTTATTCCAATTGAAAAATAACCTTTTACGATATCAATAAATAATTAAAAGAACATTGTAAATATTTCCATGCACTTTAAGCTCTTAAGTATGAATGTATGAACTTGCTCCCAGGACTATCACAGGGTTATCTTGAAAGGATTTATGGTTAATATTTGATACTGTAGACGTTATAACAATCCGTCATCCGCACAAGAGGCGAGCCGTCGCCGGCGCTGAAAGGAAGTGTTGTCAGGGATAATCAAGCCATGAACGATGTCGTTCACTTGGTATCAAGTAAAGGTCATTGGCTGGCCACAAGTTCATGCGTCTCGGTAATCATAACAGACGATATACGTTTATACATTTCAAATACATCCGTTTGTAATTTGAAATCCCTGTTACTTGTGTATGAATGACTTTTTAGCGTTAATATCTTGCCTATATTTTCCCCGGAAGTATCTCCCATGCTATCGAATAATTAACTTAAGATTTATTTAGGGTTAAGTTAGGGTTTAAACCCTGGGCCTATGCGTTGGAGGAACAGAGAGGTTTAGTGGGTATGCCTCCGATATGGAGGAGAATCCCACATAACTACCGCGTCCCCCCCCGGGGCGCGGAGTATGCATAAAGCATTCCTCTCTGGGAAAAAGGGAAAAAAAGAGTTTAAACCCTAACCCTAAATAAATCTTACTCTCCATACAGAAATTTTCTTAGTTAAAACTACAATAGAATCAACAAAAAAAACTTTCTTAGTATTCAAGGGATAACTTCATAAGTGGCCTATGTGTTTTCTCAGACTATGTTCTACATCTGTGCTAAATTTCATAAACATCTATCCAGCCGTTTCAACTTACGCATTTTCAATATCAGTGAGATAGTAAGAAGTAAGATACATACATGTTATTTAAGACGACTCTGCCATGGATCCAAAAAACGTAAATTGTTCTTTGTCTATTGTTTTACTAAGTACAAATGCTACTTTCATATTTCAATTCATTGAAGACACATCGTAAAGTGTGAAGCAATAAGAAGTATTGCCATAAACGTCGGGGAAGCGATCAAAAGTGACGAATTGCAGTGACATGTGCGTGTGCGCAGCCCGCCATCTGCAGCGGCCTGCCTCACTTGAGTCTGAACCCTTGTCTCATTTAAAAACGGCACTTCTTTATTGGTGCTTGAAATCAATAAATGCTTCAATTCATTTCAAGAATGTACTTTGTTTTTATACTTAGTACGTCGAATAAATTTAACGATGCAAGGCCCAAATTTTGTAATACCTCAAACAAAAGAAATCATACGTAATTGAAGTAGATTTTGAAAATAGGTTACCTACTTTACTAACGTAACATGGAAAGAAACATTGCGTCCTAAATACACATTTCCTTTCCCAGCTAACGCGAAAGCATGCGTTGGCTGTTAAAAATTTATTGCATCCAGCGACGCGTACGCATCGGCCGCTTACAAAATATGCTATGCATCGCGCGCGCCGGAAACATACGGATTTATACTTACCTCAGCCAAATGAAGGCCCGTCTAAATGTAATATCCGTTTCCTAAATAGACAAACGTCTATCAGCGACCAGCGTCGCCCAGAATAACTATGGCTGATTAGGCGGCAAGGGGCAGGCGCATCACAAACCTTTCGTATCAATCGTAACGTATTTATGAAATTGTCTTTCAGTTAACGGATGTTTTGCGGTTTCTAAGTAATACTGATTTTGAACTTCTCTTTGAAGAGATTACTTAGAAATATTGTTTAAGTTTAAAAATAAGTTTTGTAAAGTCCGTTGGACATAACACTACTATACTAATGTTATACATAAAAAATTATAATTTCTTTTTAAAAGTACATGAGTCAATAAAATGCGTGATAAATTTTGATTAAAAGTTCAAGTTCTTACATAAGTTGAACTCAAAAGTATTGTGTAGTATCAATATGGTTATTTAACTTAAGGCACTTGTAACTTTTAGGGCGCGAGTGATTTGTTGATATCCAATGCATCGATATTTTAGTTTGATGGCCCTTGTCTTTGATCTCGAGTGATATACAACAAACCCTTCTACGATACACAATGGTCGAAATAGTTTTTAAGTGTACACGAGCCGGCATGAGTGAGGAAATAGTTCATTTCCGCGAGGACGAATTAATCTAGAGAAGTATTTTTATCTAAGGAACAATTAGTTTAATGTCCGTAATTGTGCAGTTAAAAAAGATAACATGGTAAAATTAAATTACTAAATTTATAAATAATTCTTATATAGAAATGTTTGTATATGAAGGTATTTAATAAAAAAGAAAAAGATATCTGTCAAAATCATATTGTAAGTCCGCAAACAGTGTTGGTTATTAAAAATAAAAAATTAAAAACAATAGACAAGAATAAATAAGTAGACGTAGACATGTGTAATAACAGTTTGTTTGTTTTCAGACATAGTCGGCTGTGTTGGCAGAGAATGATTCACAATATCAAAATAATTTATTTCTTCTTATTCCCTGGTCTCCGTCTCTCGACGTCGCTAAATCATACGCTGTCTGGCGTCGCGTCATAATTAACAACTTTTTAAATTCCATATTTAGATAAAAGTGAGTTGTTAACGTATTGTAACCTATTTAATAGCATTTATAAATTGTTTGTTCCGTCCGAGTGGCGCCAATGGTCATAATGTATTGTCGTTTATTGTCTCTGGTTAATTATTTTGTTCCTTTACTCATCGCGCGCCCTTTGCATAAAGTTGACAGTGTTATTTATGCTTTTATGATACGATTAAAGTGATAGCCTACGACAGACCTAGACGTATGTTTATAGAGCTAATAAATAAATCGATTTAAACAATTTGCAATCTGCAGCTATAGTATATTATAGATAATCAGCACTAATTAAAAAAAGTTAACAATTTATCAGTCTGCCTAAAATTGATGCAACTAAATGCATTTTATCATGATGAGTAATAAATAGGTGTTATTTAAAAAAAAATCTCGTCTTGTAAAATTCAAAATTGTCAAATTCTGTAATCCATGCCTAACGTGGTTTCTGAGACTATGCATTAATCAAGTAATCATACCTGTAATTATCTTCGAAAAAACAGAGATAACAGTATGTTATAAACAGAGATTTTGGTCTCAGAAATCCACAGTATGATTTCTAATTCAAATGAAACGTTCATTCGTCTTGAATTTAAAGTTTAAAGTACAAAGTCAAATTAAACAATTAATCGATTACTCATTCGTACCGAGAACGGTTTAGTCATTGCTATTGCTGATTCAAATTCAAGTTTTGTTAAAAGCTAGCAAACGGCGTTAATGAGTAGAACGTGCTCTGTTTTACAGATATATTTATATGTTAAACGTTAAATGATTGTCGTTAATTTGCATATTAACGATACAAACAAATAATAAAAAGTCAATATTTACAATTAATTAAAATTTACATTAACGTAATTATATCGATTAAATTTTTAATTAACTTAAACTATATAATTAGTAGTATAACTTCAATAGTTTACAGCCTATCTAATCTAGGCGTTCCGAGATACAATAGGTTACAAATATAAAAATTGTACATTTTATCTGGATTAAGTTCCTAGGTAGATTACATTCAGAAAATGCATTTAACATTATTCATAAACGAAGAAGTAAATAAAAAAACAAGTCATCGCATAGTACGAACACATGTAAGGATGTACAAATGGAGTAGAACAAAGGCGTACCAAAGCAGTCACAGATGTTCAATGACCGAAAGGATGAGGTATCCGAACACGTGCAGGTAACCAAAGACTTTGAAGAAGAGCTTTCCTAGTATTTATACTGTAAATTAAATTATTATCTACTGCCATGTTTGTAAACGAACTTTAATCTTCAAAATACAATATTCATCTTAAGTCACGTAATATTTCAAAGAAGCGTTAATATTACTGATGGATCATAATTTGAAATCTGAAGAGTACAATCAAACGATTCTATACAAATAAGTTAAAGTTAGCAGGCGTCTGATCATTGGAATTCTAGCTGCGAGTACATTACGGGAGTCGCCTCGATGCATGTAAAGTACACCGTGTTTATTCTGTCAGTTCTGCTACCCTGCATAACTAATATATCTACAATAATGTCTCTGTCTTAGTTAACAACTTCCACCTCAATGGCTAAGGAATAGAGGTCAATATTCTTTGCGATAAACGCTTAGCAACGGTAATACTTATTTGGTGTACGATGTTCCTTTGACATTGATTTTGGCTAGGCCTGGACGTTGTGTTGCTACAAAGTTTGAGGTGGGTTTGACGCACGGTCACTGGGTATTTAGTCGATATACGATGAGAAAACAATGGATAATACAATAATATTCTTAAATAATTCTTTTAAGTATACTTTACCAACACAATGAGTGAGCCTATTGTTATAAATTTAAATTTAGTTTTTTTTTAATTTCTTTATCTAATTTTAAGCTTTGGCAAAGCATGTGCTTACATTTTAAGGGATACTGATAAGTTTATTGAATATTTTGATGAATTGTTTACAAAATAATAATATAAACAATATTAAAAACAATGAAACCTTTCAAATTATCGAGTAGTTTTAAAAATTTGCAATGTGCAAAATTTCGCAAAACAAAACACTAACTTATTAACACGCGTAAAATAATAAAATAATTTCGTTCACTTAATTGTAACTTAATAAACTCACTGTTCTCAGCCATCTTCAGTTCGGAACTTTCGATATTCGCAAGTATTTAAGGGAGAGCGATGTTATGATGTTAGCAAGTTAAAGGTTTGACATTGCACTGAATGGCAGGGCTGGGCCTAGGGCTGGGGTGCAGCGCGACGCGTGCGGAATTACAAAGTGCGCGCGCTCGGCGGCGGCGGCGGCGCGGCGAGGATTGTGCGCCTGCGCCCGCCTCTGCCGACGGCGCACGCGCACGCGCACCGCATACTAAACGCACGCCCCTCATAATCGCAACGCCATCTCACAACACTAATCTTAACAAACAAATTTGGGTCCAAGTGTCAATATGTCCAGCTCTATCGATCACCAAACATAGACCCAATACTATGGATTGTATTCCTTTCGCGTTAAGATAACAATAATAGTGGAAATCATTACGTTTTCTGTGTGTCAATCTTATCAGCTGTTATTTGCTAAGGTATGGCGTTAGAAAATATCATAAAGTATCACAATTTGTTTTAAAGTAAACATAGAATAAAAATCTTTGTGTTGTGACTTTCTTCGCTCTGGTTTAGCGGTAATAAATGTTCATAAAGAAATTATTATGAACTTTGTGCATTACATTGTGTAGAGCAAATATTATATGAAAGTAGGATAATGGGAGCAGACAAATAGGTTGTAAATCAAAAGCACCGCATCTCTCCGGCGATAGGTTTTCTGTAGCAGCCAGCAGCCAACCTTATCAGTGTAGGGTCGGAGAGCTCGAGAGCAATGCACTTAGATAACGTCCTCCCTACGTCTTGACAGGATTGTTTACGGCCCCTTATTATCATTACGTTGTTCCGAGTACAACATTATTATTTAATTATATCGCCCAACTACGAAAACTTCCTTTCTGATAATCTAATATTTCTGACAGTAAATAATAATTGACTGATTAAGTGCACGTCGACCGAGGACAAATATCGCTTGCGTCATTAAATGATACTCACACACACACACACACACACACACATATACTCCTTACAGACTTAAAGAAATACTGGCATATATACACTTACCTTTAAATGAGAAATTCCTAGGTCGTCTCCTTTTCACAACATCATCCTCGTTATGGTTGAACCGTGGCGGGGGCATTTTGGGAACCTCGCTGGGCACTGAGGTGACTTCCCCGGCGCACCCTCCCCCTGTCGCCAGGTATCCCCCCACAGAGTGACGTCGGCGCCCCTGCAGGGGGATCGTGTAGAATACCTCCTCACGCTCCCTCACGCCCTCTGATGTCACCACTGAAGTACTAATTTTTCCTTTCCTATTATAAACAAAATATTCAAAGTTAGAATCTGTTAAAAGAACAGTATAGTACATGAATACCTCTGTCTTTAGGTACATATCAACGGTCTATGAAAATATATACTGGACAATGTCAAAAAACTGAAGCTGCATAAACCTAATTTCTTTTCTTGGTCTAATCTTTAGCTTTAACTATGATTTATTTCCTTTGTACTACAAACTCCTCAAATATTTCTATGAGAAAGATAAACAAAAACTGTTAAAAATTTGATAACATTATCTTCGTCAAAGTAATAAACTTACTTCAATCTCGGAGCTGTGAAAGTGTGCTTCATATCACTGGGAGCGCAGTCGCCTGGTCTTGGTTGTCCCTTGAGAAATGCTTCCGCCTGCTCTGGTTCCTTAGCTGAGAGTGACCTCAGTAGAGCTCTGAACTCTTTACGTCTGGGACTGTCGGGTTCCCTGCGTCGAGGAGAGCTCAGTGGTCGCATGTCAGACCAGCTCCGGGCCGGCGCAGACCGAGAACATTGTTCCGTGCTAGCGGCTGCGGCCGTACTGGCGCTGTCAGCGACATCTTTATCAGGGAACGCGAAGTACGATGGATTATCTGGAACAAATGGTAGGGTAAAGTAATATTGTACTGTTAATATTATGATTTTTTTTTAATTTTGTATTTATAGGTTTGTTCAGGTTTTGTTACACTATGAATAGGACAAAGCTTAAGTAACAAAATACAAATGGTGATTAGGCCTGCTATCTAGTTACAATAACACGTAAGGTTGGTCTTCTGGCGAGGGAACTATAAATAGTTCCCGTCTTACCGAGGACCATAGCGCGAGGGCGGCTTCGCCGGCCAGCTATCTACGACTGGCCGCGGGAATTATTCAATAACGACAATGAAGTAACGGCTCTCCATTACGTCCACCGCTCTGCCGCGGTGCCGGCCCGTGTAGACCAACCTACTTTTATAAGCCGGAAAATGCGAATTGAAAGCAATCTTCATCCCAACTCCAAGTCCGCCATACTTAAGTCGTATATGGGACAGTCGCAGATTTATCTTTACATACCTATCTATCATGCTTTTAAGACTTTAGACTCTCAGGTTCAAAGTTATAACGAATAAATTTAACTGAAGTTAAAATAGCGATATATTATAATAAATTGCTTAATCGATAAATTTCAAAAAACTTTTAATTATGTACCAGTACTAGACTAGTATGTACCAGACTTTACACGCCCTGTAACCTGGTTTAACAAAACATACTACGAGGCAAACGTTAATCTTATATCTTTTATCATCTTAATATTTATATTGATATTTTAATAATATATAATGAATAAAAAAACAAACTTTTTCTATCGGTAAGATCGAAAAATATTATTAAGATTTCATCATTTTATTAGTATATCGTACATAAATAAAATTTCCAAGAAACACAATTTAAAAAAAAAATACCGGTCATCCAGGTACTAAAAATTTATATAAGTACTGATAAAAACGATATTATAAATATTTTGAAATGTACAAATGCCAACTTAACAACTTGCTAAATCTGTATTTGGTGGGAACGTAGAAATCCATTAATGTTGTTTTTGTGCATCCCGCATGTGCAAAGTATTATTTCCAATATTTGGACCGAGGGCGGGATGAAAGGACCATCCTTATACATGTGTTACACAAAAAGTCACTAATGGACAATGGATTGTCTCATTTAGAAAAATAAAAATCTATTACACACCATTTGAATGCAGGAATACACTAATTTATGTATAATTCAAGGAAGAACATTAGAAAAATGTAGAGATATATTCATATTATTGATTATAATAACGCTAGTAGAGTCCATTTGTGAAGTTTTTTGCTTAAGTTTTATAAAGTTTTTTGAAATATTCAAAGCACAGACATCTGTTGAATATAAAGCTATGTTCGGGACATCCGTTCTTCTAAACTGATGAATCGAGCTCTATTCTTGGAAAATCTTTAAAAAAATAAACATATGAATATCTTCAAAGTAATGATAACATTTTTATGTTTCACGTTATGTTGACTCATATGTACTAATATTGTAAAGAGGTAAGAACTGTTTGTAAAAGGTAAATTACGAAATTTTTGATTCGATATAAATAATTCGTTCAAAATTAAAATGCTACACTACGCTAATATTCACGAAATTATCTAATTATACTCATATTAATTTTTAATTTAGTTACTAAACCATGAAAAGAACGACAGACAGTGTAATCGTAAAAAAATCGATTTTAAATTCGATGTGTTGTATTCGATTGTATTTTCTTCGCCCTTCTATTCTCTCTATTGTTTCTAGTCAAACAAACGCGTCTCGATAATTAATAACAAACGTGCAAATAGATAAGTTATCAAAGAAGTAGAAACTAAGATATAGTATATGGAATGAATAACTTATGATACTAAGATAATTATCACAAAAATAAAAAAAAATCACAATCAATCACGATCAAAGAAACAAAATTCGATAATTCCGAATAGTGATGGGCGGGCGGCGTATTATCATTGATTCACGAACAAAACTCACTTGTAGCTCGAAGACAATACTCGAACTGTGGACCCATGTTAATTCTTGACGCGAGTTTCGGATACGTTAAACACGACACATCCCGTCGAAGGCGCGCCGTGATCTGCGCCCTGCGAGCGCGGGGCGAGTGCTTGTCGTATGTGGTGTTTGGTATAGGCAAGGCAGGTGGATCCGTCGGCTGGGTACTAGCGCACACGTGCGTACCCCGGGAAGAGCTTTCTCAGCACGCGTCAGGAAGCGCGCACACAAACTACCACCGAACACTGGCCTATATACAACACAAATAGACGGAGCCGAAGAATTTAGCTAGGGTTGCTTAAAGGATTTGGTTAATGTTTCCATTTTTAATTGTAAAGCATAAGGGTTTTTTTTTTAATTTCGAATAAGTTTCTTCATGGCAATATATTATATAAAAGTTAATAATGCATTGCTGCATAATCAACTTTTATATATTGATTGAATGGTAGATATATAACTTAATAAGTTGCTTAATTAACTTAAAGCTGTTCCTTACCGTTTGTAGTTTATGTTTCTAGAACTCATCTTAAGCCATACTTTAATGTATTTAGGTTTTAAGAAAATTTTAAAACAGAATTTAAGGAAAAATATTTTATGACACAAAAAAGTTTAAACAAAGGAAATAAAAGATAAGCATCACACAAAAGATTTAAATATTTATAAATAAAATGTATGCTTATAACTCGAAGCATGAAGGTAGAGTCAAATTGCCTACCATATGTTTTTATAGGTAGGGGAGTCTGTGCCCAGATTTAATTTGAGTGCGCGTGCGCGGTGCGTTTCGGTAGCGGCCGCGCACGCCGCGCCACCACAGGCCGTGTTTGTAAATAAACGTCGTACTTTGTTATTGCCGTTCATTCATATTCCTGGCCGGTGCTAGCTAGCCCTATAAGGCCGATGATATTTTATAGAAAAGGGGGCAAAGTAACGAGGTCGTACTAAAACATTTCTACGAAAATCCGATTCATCTTGAGGCAATAGAGATGTTAGATTCTATACCCTCAAGGCAAATCTTTGCACTTATATAAACCCCATTATTCATCATTTATATTTATTCGTTCGTTCGTTGGTTGTTAAATCTGATATTGTCTGATCCGAGACGTATGTAAAACGAGAAGTTTGACACAAGGTGACATTTCTTGACGAACACAAGTCATTATGTCGAAACAAGGTCAAATGAACATATGCAGCCGAAACTTTGCATATTATATTTGACTCTACGTACTATTCAGAAAGAAGATATTTTGATCTACTTAATAAAAAAAACTATTTTTCCTACTACTTAAGGCTAGTGGAAATGCAAAGATAGTGAACGTGAATGTTTTCAGTTTTTTTCAATTAATAACTCATATTATGTTTTGTTTTTAAATTATTAATAACACGTTGAGTATAGCCTAGTTAAGTATTCCTGAAACACGGTAGGATGTTATGACGACCGATTTAAAAAATTGACCACTTTGTTAGTGGGATGGACGGAAAAAAAATACACCAGATGTGGGGCGAACTGTTTACTTGCATCTGCCTTCGAACAAAGCGCACTTTTGTTGCAAACTTTAATTTGGAACGATTGATGATCGATGTTTAAAAAGTATACTAAACTTACTTTTAATTTTTTATTTTACTTCCTGCCTTTTGCAGAACATATTACAAACATCTTGATGAATAAAATTCAAATATTTTGATGATATTACTTAAACGTATTATAACTTTAGAAAAATTGGAATTATTTTTATTATTCTTTTCATCCACGGGATTGTATTTAAGCTTGTGAAGTTATAAATAAAATTTCAAATCACAAGAACGAATTAATAAATGTTATTCGACGCCAACCAAACGAATTAGTAATATAAGTCGAATGCAGTATAATTTGACATCAATTAAACAAATGAAGACACATCGGCGAAAACGGATTACAAAAAAATAAACAAACATCGACTGGATTTGGAGTTCAAAATCCGCGCTGTATTTACGGAATGCGCACAAGTTTATTTATGCGATGCGCATATGTTGAGTCGTGCATATCTGCAAGCATGGTCACCACACGGCCGCTAAGCTTTAGGACTATCCGGACCAACTATAAATATATTATTAACTACCGAAACATATATTCAAGAATACTTTCTCGAAGAAAATGATAAGGATAGTGCAACGATTTGTTTTGTACATAGATAAGAGTCGATGTGGTAAATAATAATTTGATTTGATGAATTAAATTTACATTTTCTGACATTAACTTTTTGAACTACGTCTCTATAAATTATCCCGTGTCTTTGTATAAAATAAGCAACCCTGCCTGACAGAAGATTCTCGATGATTAAATACTTGTATTAGTCACTGGGAATTTCAATGAAGCTAACATCAGTGAAAAGAGACTAAAGTTTTGATATTAAATCGCCTCGACATGACTTATACGACTTTATACTTGAGTGATATGGACACCTAAAAACAAAAGACAGAATAAGCCTCTAATGCTAAGAGATTTGCTCTTATTTTGTCAAGGAATAGAATTAAATGTTGTTCGAACTCAAAATACACACAAAGATATGATATTGTTGAATATTTTACTTTTTTTCACAAAGGAGCTAGAATCTTGTACTTCCATTTACATTTTATATGAGGTGATTATTATCTTTAGTGTAATGTTTAGTCTATTTGAGAGGTTAGTTTGGATAATCATAGAATATATGTACAATTTTAGCATTATTTAGGTTAGAATTTGTAAGTAAAATATTTGATCCAAAGTTCATTTTCTTTGGATCTTACTTGGCATAATGTTTCAATAGTTGCTATGTATTTCATATACAATGAGTACTCTAATGACTTTAGATTTTATGACACGGAACTGCTGCATGTAATTAAATTTATATCAAGTAATATTACAAAATAGGTGATAGGTTACTTCTTATAACATCCGGCCTATTTACATATAGATAGTCCAAACAAATGTATGGTACTGAATGAAATAAAGGAGGGTAGACAAAGATGGGTATTATCGTCGCGTAGCGCTCGACGCGACGTCGTCGGCTTAGATACAATTGGACATTTCCGCTTGTATCGAATTAATTTACTACATACGTAATGTACATATACGTATATACATATGAATGCGACGCTAATAACCGCATCCGCGACATTGTACTACACATTTAGAGTAATTCCATGCATTCTTTCTTAATTTGTGGGTGATAAACGTGGCAGCAATAAACACAACCAAGATTTAGAATCGACTCTTCGGAAAAAAAATATATAGATGTCTCACTTTATCAGAGAGAATGAAAGAGATGACGATATTTAATAGAAACATCAATAATCTTTGATGTCTTCTCATAATTTTTTTTCTGTCTGTACTTTAAATTTTTTGCATGTTGCCAGTTTTAATGTATTTACGTGCATCCGAACCCTCTTCCTAGAGTATCGGATATCCGTTTCACACAACAAAGGGAGGGTGCCAACAAGGGTGTCTGTCGGGAAACGTTAAAACTAAATCTTAATGTTTTCTAAAAAAGCTATGCCATGTTAAATACCGGATACGTAGAAGTAAACGTTTGCCCATGTTGTATATGTTGTAAATCGATTTTTACACGTTTTTATTTTGATAGATTAGTTAATTGTGCAATTCTGATTTTATAGATATTTTATATGATAAAATAAAAGAACTATGCTTTTTCTCTTCATTTTATAATATTTTGTAAGACAAGTAAATAACAGGAAGGCAGGGCGGCGTAGGGCGCGGTTGGGCGACCTATAGCCGGGACATGAAGTTAAGCCTCAGATCTACACATTACGCAATCTTAAATAAACTTGTTGACCTGATCCCAAGGCATAATAAAAACAAGAGGCGACGTAGAAATCTCTCCTGGATGCTTATAGAACTAAAACGGCAAAACCTGCCGGAATATTATTATTTATTGTATTTTAATTCCTAAAACATTGTTATTACACAGCGTACAGGTAAACCTAAATTCAATTTTAACAAATATTTACGTTAAAGCTTAATTTTGAAAGTGAAATCCTTAGATGATTTGGCTATGTTAAAAGTTCATCGACCAACTCGGCTCGTTTGAAGAAACCCAGAACACGAATGCTTTACGTCATGGTATTTCGGTTAATATGTCTATGAAGGAAAGGCCTGTGTGTGTATTAATTTTCTAAATCTTTAAAGTGAGACATAAAAAAATATATTTGACGTTAACACTCTATAAAGTTGCATCAGAGAGAACGAGGTGTTCCTGACCGCGAGTTTCGATTGCCGAAACATTCGCATAGGTTGTCTCTCTCGTTCTCTTTAAAAAAACGGAGATAGTGATATGTTTTTGTATGTTTGTATCGCCAGTGTAAACTCACGGTAAACGTAAAAGGAACATAACAGAGAATGTTTTAGTAGTAATCGCTGAATGCACTTAATGCAACACGCTATTTATATGAATGTTGTTCGTTATGGTGTAAATATAATGCTCTATTGAATTGTACCTTAATTGTTTTTTTTTTAGCGGAGCCCTACTCCATGTAAAGAGGTGCTATGCGCTGAATGTGAAAATGGCTGTGTCCTCGAAATCCTAGGAAAGTTTCTAAACATCAAATTCGTAGAAATATGAATATAGAAGATATAAAAGAAGGCGTCATCTAGAATTATATAGGCAGTTGTAAAAAAATGTTTACTAGAGCTCTCAAGATACGCGTAATACAGTTTTACTTACTCCCACACACTGCACATAATAAAATGTTTAGAAGTTGAATGCCAAGACAGTTAACCTTATTACCAAAGCAAATGTAGTTACATACGTTCCCACACTACACGTGGGTTATACAAAACAAATCGTTTCGTAACTATGTATGTGTTTAACTTTCCAAGTATTGAATATTCATCATATTTTACAATTACCAGAGAAAAACATAAATAAATCGGCGACTATATATCTTTGACCGAATTCTGTCAGAGTTGTTTTGTAGTGTTTGATAATTTATTTTTATAATCAAGCACCATAATAACTTTAACGAAGCTATACACACAAAGAATAATAAAGATATAATTGATGCATTGTCCAAACGGGACACGGCCGTGGTCATCGTTTGGCGCGCATTTAACAGTACATCGTATTGTCAATGTCACGCCCAGTCCCTAACGCTTAGTAGGTTAATGAAAAACAATAATATTTTAATTATCATTACTTCCTCGAGATAACCCTGTAAAGAAAAACATGATATTATATTATTAACATCGTAATAGTATGTCTTAAATGCCAGGCCATATTTCTCAAAATTTATGGTTAATTAAAATTTTCAAGATATCTGAAATGACAACTGCTGTTTTGAGTGTCACCTTTTTTAATCATAACGTTAATTTAACAGAACTACTACTTTTTTCTATTTCTTTACATCTATGTCGCCAGTTTTACAAACACTGCAATTAGCAAACAAGAAGGTTGAATAGGTATTTACTAGGCTAATATGTACCATTGTTCGACCATATTATCACTTATCATCTGGTAAGTATGTGGTCAAGTCCTAGTTTATTCGATATTTAAAAAAAACACTAAGTACATCATTTTAATAAGGTATAAGGTGCTCCTTACTAGCTCTAGCGTCGAAGCCCAGTTGTTTACATCTTATATAAAAATAGCTTCGTACCAGTTTATACGTACCCAATTTGGTTTGTACCTTTATAAACAACGAAACACGCACAGCAACTGCTTTTCTTGTCTACGCCAATTTGGAATTAATACGTGATGTGATTTTTTAATTTTAAAATTAAATTCAATAAAAGTTGTATTAACTTTCCAAATTTAGGATAACTTTTTATGGATATTAAAAGATATAATTAACTATCTATTTCCGCATTTTAGTTTTAGGATAGTTTTTAGCATACTAGCGCATATACCGAAGTGAAATGTTATTAATATAAATACTATGCCTGTTTGAAATTGAAATATTGTATTATGTATTCAGCATGATGTGCGGTTCTAGGGTTTTGACCAATTAATTGATGTAGAATTGAATCGTAACTTAATATTCATAATGCAAATACGTATGACGTTACAGACTTGAGAAGTTTATTTGCATTTATCCTGTTAATAATCTAAAATGATTTTTACCGAAATGGGCAATGTTGTAAACATTCTTTTATTCTTTTTTGTTTTTTGTATTCTAGAGAATAGTTATGAATTGATAGAATTTTAAAGAATGGGGTATTGCTATAAAAACTCTTTTATTTATTTACATGGAAAAAATACATTTTTCCTTTGTATGTAATAGAAATTTGCAATGTATATATATATATATATATATATATATATCAATTATTTTAAGAGAGTAAAACACAGGGCGGGCGCGGAATAAAAATACATAGGGCAATATGAAATTCATTCCGCGTATACGTTCATATTAAATCCAACTCGACAAAAAAATGATAGGTTGAACAAACTTTGGGCGGAGACACGGTGCGAATAGAAAATGTGGGAACGATGCGCGGGAGCATTGTTGTTAAGCATTCATATGCCGGCACTCACCCATCGTCCGCGCCGGGACATCCGCCGATGCTTCCGCTGCCAAAGATGGAAGATCTTCGTACTAGTTCGTTGACAGCGGCCGGCGATGTATTCTACGTCGCACCATAACTATTGGCAGCACTATATCTATGTCCGACACAGTTAATCGCACTAGGTGTTTATTTATTTATTTTTTAATTCTTAGCCGCGAGACGCGCGTTGCGCCAGTGAGCGGTGCTGGCTTACGTACGCCGACGCGTCTTCGGTCTTCGGGAGCTATTTTTGATGCAAAAGCGCGTTGGAAGTTGAGACGCCAATGTCTAGAGCATGCATGGAATATGCAATGTCGTCAGCCTTGATGTTTATACACTGTTGTAATTCTAGCGGCCGTCGTCTTTATCCAATTTATTACCATCGTAAATATCTTTTTAGCTAATAGCGAATATTAATATCATAATACTGAAATATATATTTTTGATTCTTTTTTACGAAAATACTAATACTAATGCCACTTGGACATACAGGTCTTGCCCCATCCAAAAATTTTGTCTTTTACAACCGGCCTACAATATTAAATCCAAATAAATAATTTTAAGATTAACCAACACATTTATAAAATATGTCAATATAACTCGGTTACCAGAACACCTATAAAATGTTCTCTAGAGAAAGCAGTTAGGCAGATAAATTTTTGGTAAACCATTTTGATGTTTAATTGAGGGTAGACAGATGTCAATGTTAAGGTACTTCACCAATCCTAAGACCCTCGAAATACAGTTTAAATAATATCTATATCTAGGGTTAGAAAATTTAAGTGTAGATTTAATTATGCTGCATCCGTTAATGTCCAAGTATACGTCACTCTAAATAAATTTTCTTCGCCTGTCTCTTTCATTTCCGCCTTGTAATTGGGCGTAATTGATGCTTGCACAAGTTCCTATATTTTAGCGACGCATTGTAAACGCAATTACGGGTGGAATAATTATACTATATTATTACTATACTACTACCACAGAATAACCACCGTTTTTACTGAATTACACTTTAAGAACTAACAATGTGTTAAGGGTGCTGTGGTATGTAGCTCTTGTCGGAGATAATAGAGCGCCTCGTTAGACGGTACTTAATGGAAGATGTAAATTGACGGTTCTATTACATTTATTATTTACGTTAATACATTTTTTTTGATAATGATTCATTCAATCGCAAAACATCAATCTTATCAATAATTTAATTGAATTAACTTTATATTTAAAGTCTTTTCTAGGATTGATGTGCTTATTAATATATTATTTATTTTATTAACATAATATTTGTACTTGACATTGGTTTTAGTTTTAGCGCCAAAGTTTGCTGTCACTTGTGTTGTGACAGCTGTTCCGTCGTTCAGACAAATTCAATTTTCTATGCGTTCCGTTCTACAAAAATAAAATTGTCAAGGATTTTGAAATATTAACTCAGTTTATTAATTCAAAACACACATTAAAATATATCCTTAATTAATAAAATAGACTGTGATTTGAAAAGGTCTACAATGTTTTCCTTAATTCGCTTATGGCTTAAAATATGACAATTGATCACAGAGTCTTATTGCCAGAAAACAAAATGAAAAAGATCACCGTATTTTCTTATTTTTTTATTAACTTAATAATATCTGCAGGAGAATTATATGAAAATAATTTAAATCTCAATCAGATTAAACAAAAAGTAATTGTATATTACAAAACTCAATTGCGACATAAAAAAAACACTATCCACTCGTTGGTTTGTAAAAAAATAATTGACTAAAAATCAATTTGCTTAAGGGAAAGCCTAAACAATAAACATTGAACAACCAACATAAAGTCAAATACTTAATAATATTCAATTATTGACGTATGTGCTAATTTAAGTGAATTTAAGCGAGTACAACATAATTGTTGTGCGCAAGCGTAATCAGACGATTAAGTTAGCAGCTAGCCAACAATCGGCCAGTACCAGTACTTTGTTGGGTGTTGTGCGGGAGGGTCGGGTCGTGAAAATGACCGGAGTGGATGAGATACTGAATTATCAAAGAAACCCCGACGACGATTATTACGCTTTGCTGGGCTGCGACGAGAACTCTTCGGTAAGTGAAGTGCTGTGCGTTTATAATTTGACACTTGATAATACAGGTACAATAGCAATTAAGACCTTTGTAAAAGTATTGATTCGATGTTCTATTCAATGACCTTATTCAAAGCGAAGGCTATACGTGACCTACTTCCTTCAAAATATACTTATACTTGGTATAGGTGTTAAGAATACAAAGACAGCTATTATTTTTTAATACATATTTACTTTAATAGTCTAAGAGGAAAAACCAAGTATGTACTATAATTAAAAATGAATCACTTGAGTTTTAACATGGGATTTCCCTTTTTTTTTATTTTATTAAGTTAGACTAAGTTGTTTTTCGACTTATTTTTTTTTGTTTTAAAAATTACAGGTTGAGCAGATAACTGCAGAGTATAAGGTGTTGGCTCTGCAACATCATCCTGATAAGAATGATGGGGACAAAGATGCTGAAGCTAAATTTCAACAACTGAAGGTTCAGAACACTCAATTATTTCTGAGAAAATTGTATTAATGTAATCTGCTTTGTAATGATGTATTGTAACTTCTTATAGGAGGCAAAGGAGACACTCTGCGACCCAGCCAAGCGGGCTCTCTATGACAAGTGGAGGCAGAGTGGTGTTGCCATGGGGTATAAGCAGTGGCTGAGCATGAAGGATCATGTGCAGCAGTCCATGCATTGGTCCAAGCCCAACACCAAGGACCGCATGCTAGAGGGTGAATCTGGTCACTCATCTGGCCCATCCAGCTTGGGCCCAACCAATGCTGCCGCTCGCAGGGCTTCTGAGGGTGGAGCTGCTCTCTGGGGACGCTGGGGACCTGGCAATCAAGAGCCACCATCCGAAGTGATCTCCAAGTTCCGTAATTATGAAATTTAATTTAGCATAACTATATGCTATTTTTTTTTTCTTTTCATTGTGATATTTTTGTTGATTTGACATTACTATAATTTTGTTCTAAGTTTGAATTTGTTATTTTTTGTGCCCTAATGGCAGATTTAGGATTGATGCATAATTTTAAACCACTTGCCAATATTGATGTTGTGTTTTAATTTATAAAATTAAATATGTTAATTGAAGCTATGTAATAGCTTTATATTCATCAGGTCAGCTCGTAAAATAACGTTCTCGAATGTGGCTCGTAACTATCGATGTTAAATGTATCTTTTGATCTTATGGATGTTAGTTTTAGAAGTAACTACATTAGAGAACCCATGTTTATTGTGAAACCTTTAGCGTTGAAACTCAATCTATAATTATCCTTAGCTTTAAGCTCTGCACATTCCTAAAGTCCAACTTATGAGTCTGATATTAAACATTTCTGCGTTAGAACAATATGTTATCTATAAGAATCTCGACATTTTGAAAATTTATATTTTTGATCCCCTTTATTACTATTTGTCTACTATGAGTATTGCATTATCCAACAGATTATGGGAGCGAGTGAACTTGAATTGTTGTGAGATATGTACAGGGTATAGACGGACGGACAGATTTATTTACTCTTTATTTTATCACAGAAACCTGTCAGCTCTACATTGCCTATTAATTTATTTATATAATTTATAAATCTATTTCTACAATTGAATCCTGTTACCCAAATCTAAATGTATAGTTATAATCACCTTTACTATGTGTTAAATGTTTTTAACAGTATTTATAAATTTAATATTTTAGATGAAATCTGAATGTTATATTGATGTAATAGCTATATTATGGATGTTTATGTCTTAAATCACAATTAGTAATATAAATTTTAATTTTGATGCTGTAGTACTGCTCTAAACAATAAAATTCTACAAAAAATCAGTGTTTTCATTTCATACCTAAAGTTCTAATTTAGTAGTAAAATTCCTATAGTAATTGATGAAAAATAAATAAAGATAAAATTTGTTAATTATTTTCTTTTAATTTGATAACATTGTTCTTGTGATGAATCTATGAGCTGTCGTTAGCGCACAATAAAAAAAAATACTTCGTTAGTAGCCTATGTATTCTTCCACACTATGCTCTACATCTATGGCAAATTATATCTAGATCTTTTAAGCCGTTCTGGAGATATCTTCTAATAAATATCTATCATTTTAAAATACATATTAGATAGTTGAATAGTTGCAGATCTCCTATGGATACTTTGGTTTTATTTTAAGTCGCAGTATCGTGGTCTGTATTCGTTGGCATAATGCTTGTATCATGGCGACAATAAAAAAACATCTAATATTAAGATCTGCGTGTAATTAACGTATTTAGTACGTCATTTCCACTTCTATTACTTTTGTACTATAGTTGTTTTTTCTATTATATAGGCACCACATAAAAAGTAGAATAAAGCGGAGTGCTAATGTAGACCTTTAGATTTTAAAGCAAACAATGATTGAATAATGCCATGAATATATCAATAAACTATATCTAAAACTATATCCTTGTAATTACGCCTTATTGGTGGCATTAATTAGCGCTTGCTTCAATGAACAGTTTCATTAAAAATATCTATAAAAAAAAATTAAAGGTCTTTTTATACTATAAAAAGGGAACAGGTGTATGACATACTTTGATAATGTAGGTTAGTGCCTTGCTCTAGGTTAGAGTATTGATTATGTTCCTCAGCGCCGTTGCGGACATCAGAGGAACTAAAAAATATCCTGCGCAAATAAAAAATACTTCTACTTATATAGATGACCTTAGATATTTTATATCACGACCTGTAATAAGAGTTTCGAAACATGTTAATATACATGTGTGATTAATGAATTATTGATGTCACACGTATTCTCCGCACAAAAGATCTGTATATTATGTAGACCTAAATGTATTTAGAAATATATTTGATTTGGAAACTTATTCAAGGAATAGGATTATATTATCTAAGAAATCCTCATTTTATTTTCATGAACTTTTAAGTGCTCAATGTTAGAATACATTTATTATTCGATTTATAAACTTTCTTTGAACGTATAACTTAATAGACTGGATACGAATAAGCTTTTAACGGATTAGAGATCAAACGATGCATAAAATTGTTGATAAAATATATATATATATATATTCATATAATTTAATTCTTACATTATAATCTTAAAGCTTAATATGCCAATAGTATAGATTAAATTTGAACGAGCTATAATAATAAATCTATGTTTATCTTACTAATATTATAAGCCAAAAAAAGATTCTTGACAGACGGACAACAAAATGATCCTATAAGGGTTTCGTTTTTTTTTCGAGGTACGAAACCATAAAAAAGTGCGAATGTTAGAATTGTATCTCCATAACGGCTCAACAAATCTTGATGAAATTTGTAATAAACGTAGAAGATAGTCTGAAAGATTAAATAGGCTACTTTATTGAGCTTTTTTTTAATTCCGCGCGGACAAAGTCGTGGGCGACAGGTAGTCTTTTAAGAATATTGCAAAAGCCGCTTTTCATGATCTGTGCTTGGCTTGAATTTTTTGCTAAGCCGCGAACAAAATCGATTAACAATAAGCGTAATAGAAAATCAGCACGCGAGGCCGGACACGCCCGTATTTACAAGGTTTTGTCTAAAGGGACATCACCGGGAATGGTACTAAAGGTATAACATAAAATAAAACGAATATCTATCTTTTGGTGCCCGGGAGAAGCCGGGGATGATCGCTATTATGTTATAAAAGTTATTTGATTAAATAGTTCAACTAAAAACGAATACAAAAGTACGGAATTATGTACCTACTACTATCTACCTACCTACTTCGATTGTGGGTAGAGATCACTTAACAAGAAATGATACCATCGCTCGCTTGTTTCCATACCATGAAAAAAGTAACATATCTCTACTATACTTATATGATAACTATGTACAAGTGGCGCCATTTCTTAGTTAAGTGGTGCGGTGCATTTTTCAGAGAAAGTGTTATGTAAACATGAACGTCGCATCCCAATACGGCATAACGGACATTTGGAGAATCATCGTCGTTTTCGCGCCAACCGTCCTGTTTATGAATTCCGCGGATTGTTAAATACAAAGGAAAAAACAAATTCAGCGCGTGCCTTTGTCAAAAAAATACACAGCAATCGTGGATGTTTAGGTTTGTATAACAATAGGAAAATTTGGTAAACTCTACAACATATTTTATAATCCATGTAATAATTGTAACAAATATTTAATACCTTTGTATGTTATAAGCAGGCCAACTGAAGCAAAAACTAGAAAAAGTGCACGCGGTTGATCTGAAAAAAAAAATGGCATTTTATTTTCCAAGGCGACTACTAATCACGGACTAATTTATGTAGGTATTGCTCGCGACCCCGTCCGCACGGAATTAAAAAACATAATTAGTAGTGTATTTGTTCTTCTAGGCTATGTTCTACATCTATGCTATATTTCAACAAGATCCATGCAGCTGACCTGAAGATATCTACTAACAAACATCCATGCATTCATCTAAACATTCGCATTTATAACATTAGTAAAATAACAAGAAGGATGAGTTTCTTAACTAGACCAGACAATTTGTCTACGAAATGCAAAGTATTTTATTATGATTAATGTTACGATTGTTACTGTCTAATCGTGAGTGTGAAAATGAGCTTTTAAAATTGTAATCGACGATTTAAGACCATTTCCACCGGAGATGGCACTGAGATTGCGTGGTAAAGACTGATTTACTACGAACTTTCTAAGACAGGAAAATGGTACCGATTAAGGATTAGTTTATTTTACTCATGAAACTGAAAACTTACGTTTAACTCGGTGATCCTAGTATTTAAGTTGTTTTATAGCTACGAGCCACAAACACCCATTGATTATGTAAATGTAACCGCGAAATAATAGAATAGGCGACCCTAACGCTAATCTCACAATTCTGTCGAATCCGCGACTGCTAGACGACGGTGACTGACAGCCCCCCCGCACGTAAAGCGTTGCCGAGCCGGTGAAGGTTTTCAGACTACCCACTTGTGCAAAGACATCGAAATAAGTGGGGTAATCTTGAAATGTAGGAGATACGGACCCGTGAAATGTTACTAGCTATAAGTAAGAACATCGTTTTTTTATTAAAATGTTTTTTTTACTTAATCTTTTTGATTATAAATGTTATGGAACATTTTGGGATAGAAACCTAAACAATCATCTAAACTCAAAACCTTTGAGACCGATGTTCAGTTCGAAAGCTATCTCGTTTTGGGGTATCATACTGCTGCTCTAATAGTATTTAGATGTTTAGCAAAGAAGGCCCTTAGTGTAAGTTTGGTATAAGAAAATCTAAACTGAGGCACTGCTTAGTAACCAATAAATAAATGTATGACAGAAAATACCTTAAAATTGAATAGCATTTAACGATTATTTTGTGAGACAAAGACATTGGTAGATACGTCGTTTGTCAACGAGTGCGTGAGGATTCCGATCGGTGGATGTTTACAGTCCAGAGCTCCGGTTTCATCGTTAGCGGCCGTGGTCTCCGCTCCCAGCAGTCACCGACCAGCATTTGGCCCACGCGAAAGTGATATAAGTGGCAGTCAATTCACAAACTTGGATAAATAACTATTTATACCAATTAAAATGTGCTCCCATTTAGATTACCCTGTAAATTGCTAACTAAATTTTAATCGACAATTGCATTTAAATGATCAATTAGCAATTAGCAACACACTAACAATAAATTAAATGATTTTTGGCTACATAGGTAAGTGATTTGAATTTGTGCATGGCAACATTTTGGTTACATTATGTAATCCTCTTTATTTTGTCAAATAGTCATAGGAATTAGATTTTTATGGATGTAAGTGAGAAATTGACTTGTTGTTTGAGACCACTGCTACCCTTCTGTATTTTGGATCAGCTGTAACGTTAATATATCGCGACTTGAAATTCAATTAAACCTCCTTTATGTAAATTGCAAATTTATTTTTCAAATGTGATCCTCGGTCCTAAACCTAAGATTTATGTTAGTATAGATAAAGTAGAGATTATATAGCGCTTGGAGTGGAGAAAATTATCTTACAAATCTAACTCATATTATGAATGTGAATGTATAGATGAATGAATGAAGGTATCTCCGGAACGGCTGCATGGATCTTGCTGAAATTTGGCATAGATGTAGAACACAGTCTGGAAGAATACATAGGCTACTTACTAAGTATGTTTTTAATTCCGCACGAAAGGAGTCGCGGGCGATAGCTAGTCTGTTATAAGAGAAATTAAATTAAGATACATGCCTAATCACAATATCGTACAGTTACAACTGAAATGAAACATTCTGGTCAATAGTTTTTCAAATGAATATCTCTATTTGTATTACGTCGAATGTTCTTTTGTCTGAACTAAATGTATGTGGTGTCTGCTAGCGAATTGTTTGAACTATCCAATTAATAGTAGCATCAAAACTTATAATTTGGCATATTTGTAACAAGGCGTAGAACTGTTATTTTTAATTACGATAACCGTTATATTAAGCTGCTTTATATTATGTTAGATGTAAGGCTGCGTGTTGCATTAACGGGAGCAGTAATAAGTAACGTAATTTTAATTTATGAATACTGTTACGTATACAACTTCGGAGTTGAATTTTATCTCGTTTACCAACAAATATTTTTATCTCATCTCTCATAACGTTAGATTACTTAGAAATATAACTTTAGGACATGAACCTAAAAAGATTGCAAGAAAAATTAAATGACTTATCGTATAACATTCTTGTCGATAGAGGTATATTGGCAATAGGACCGTTTTTTGTCAAATGTATTTTGTTTATATTAAAATTTTTTGGTTGTATTTTATTTTTTTTACTAAATATAAGCAGATACTAACATTATTGACTATTATAGTATCAAAAACATAATAAATCTTACCTCTTTCCAGTTGTATGGATAAAATACATAATGTAAAAGACAATGTATGGAGGTTGAAATCAATACAAAAGTATAATTCGTGCATTGCACTAAATGGTCAAGTGTTTCTCGGTATGTTAACGCAATCCGAGTATCAATACGACGTCCATCACTCCATTGACCTTATAACAAAGAATCGTTATTCCATAACAATGCATCGCAACTTGGAATACCGTTTTTGCAGACATTACGTAAATGTTTGTTATTTCATACGGAACGAATTCTTGATGAAAAGAAAAGATTAAGTATTTTAGATTTACTGAAATACCATTTCATTCGGTATTTTCAATTTATAGATACGACTCCGTTTTATATTCCGAGTTTTAAAATTCCATTAAAAATATGAAAGCAAAGAGATTGCAAGGTCCCGATTGTAAGTATTTTTAACAAATAAAGTGAGTACAGACAACACAGAAATGCTGCAGAAATTAATACAAATAACAATAACATGGCAGTCAAGCCAATGTGCTTAGGGTTGGCCGGCAGAGGTGACAGAATTTTATTTGGCGTCTCTTTCAATTTGGTAGGTCAAAGTATTCTAATATTACCTTTTAGGGATGACAGCATTAATATCGAACTTTTTTTAAACTAGTTTTCGCTCGCTACTTTCTCAGTGTGGAATTAAAAACAAGCCTATATTCCAACATAAGGTATCTTCCAGTAAAAGTCAAAATCTGTCCAGACGTTACCCGGAACAAATCTGCAAAGAGATTAAAATTTTCAAAATTATTTTTCATTTTAAACAACGCAAATACATCAAGTTCACGTAATATGATTTTTTATAGTACAAAAAGACACTCTAATTTATTATTATTAATTGTATACATAAAAAAACACAACTGGATTTATCATCGTGGATGGGGTCACAGCGATGTGTCCCGAAGACAGACAGAAGTTCGCCGTCGGAGTGTTTCATAGCAAACACAGTAGTGTGCAATGCTAAGCTCTACCATGCATGTACTTACTTTGTTTGTTCTGAAATATTCTATACTCCATCATAATGAAGATGTACTGTCGCCGGAGATCCAGAAGCGAGGTTGATTTAGGGTAATGTATAAACAACAAGAATGTTATGTACAGTATAAGTTTAATTCTATATGTAACGTTTTTGTTGTCTTAAATTGCTCTCCACTAACCTTGTTGAAGATGAGAAGAAAGAAGAAATATCAAGATGTTTAAATTTGATTTTGTCATAGATTGTTAAGTACTGTAAACAAATTTTTAACCAATATTTAAATATGAAATTTGATATTTTATAGATAACTCAAATAGGCACAAGAATAGTATGGTAAAAAATTTAACGCAAAAGGTAGACATCTATGGTTGAAGCTTCACTACTTAGCATTTATCTAGCGATAGTTTTTACTCTATAAAAGTCTAAATAACATAATTATGTATGAAAAAATCAGACTTACCGCAGAATAAGTTCAGAGCAAATAAACGCATAATCAGTCCAAATAAAAAAGACCGTTTTAGAACAATTTTTTAGGATAAATTAAATCTGCGAAGCTATAAACGTCTATGTAAGTATTTGAATCTGTTATGTCCATTGAATAATGTGTAAAATAATTTTATATGTATTATACACAATGTTTCAGATGTATTACAGAGATTTATGTTTCCCCTATAAGAAGAAGTACATGGTATACTGGAAGACGAAAATTACTACAACTTTTTTTTTATATTACTAAGGTGGTAAACGAGCGAGCGGCCACCTGAAGTCGCTGAAATAGCGAAGTGACCGTTGCCCATAGACATACGAAATTGCGTATGCGATGCCAACCTTTAATGGACGGGGGAGAGAATGCACAAAAAGAAAATATTTTCCCTTTCCATGCATCCTCTTATCCGGAAAGTCCCTTATAAGAAAAAGGGTGGGAAGGTAAAGAGGACTAAATTAGGCCTCCGGGACGCACACTCATCAAACGAAACGCGGAATTGCTTACACTTCACACACTGCGAAGCTGATGTTAAAGCGGGCTGTACCACTGTTAAAACAACTGAATAAATAGTTTAAATTTATTTCTCAAGTGACATATTTCTAAAGATTCTATTCATACATAGATTTTTCAAGACCGTTATTTGTAAACCAATCTATTATAAGTTGTCTATGATACTCATCCTTTGTTTTTGGTCGGGGCATAGAAATATTCCGTTTGACGTTTTCTATTTGATATTCCAGGTTACAAGGTCGAATGGCCTCTTGTCCCGCTTGATGGAACCACTTGTTTGAAACTAAAAAAAGGTAAATTTTTGATGAAGAAAAAATTATCATTTGATATTAAATTAATAAACCTCGAAGACATGTTTAGATATTTTTATATACCAGAATGTGGCAAACAATAGAACAATTACTTTGCATCGATAAAATAGCGAAGTGACCTCTTCTCAGTCATCTGGATTAGGCCGAAATGCAAACATATACTATTACCATATTTTATGTTATTTTGAATCATTAGACAAAGAAGACAATACTTAAGTAAATTTATTTTTAATTAGAACGCCATGCCATATTTAGAACAGTCTCGAAGTTAGCATCTGTCGCATGTACTCGCCGGGGAAGTGACCCGATCAAGCGAGAGATTGCTGTTACGGCATCATATTAGCTTCACTTTTTGTGTGGAACTTAATTGTTTCCTTTTATTCTAGTCGTATACTCACTCCACTTGGAGCCGCGCAGCACGGGGCAGGCGGCGTGGCGCGTCGTGATGTCACCCTCACCAGACGGGTGCAGGTTCAACCAGTATAACGCCGCATTCTTCACCGGGAACACGGTTAAACCCAGCTCCGTGAACACAGTAGCGCCCCCTTCTGTCACCTCTGACATCTAAAAGTTGTATAAAATGTAGACAATTATAATTGATTTTTATTTTTCCTTGGATTTTATTTTTTATAATTTTGTTTTCTTTTCTACTTATTTAATACGTTCGAAAAATTCGTCAATATTATTTAACAATTTACAATCCGCACAACTGGTGATAAGATAATATAATGCTAAAATATGGAATCTTAGAGTAGTACAAGGGTTATCAAATAATTTTAAAATAATACGTAAGAAGTTGTGTTTACTATTTGATAGTATTTTTATAGTTAAATACGACTTAGGCGATTGCACTAAAAAGTATTATACGCGTTATATACTCACATAGAATATTGTAGTTGCTATTCTGTTTCCATATTCTTTCATTTTGGGTAAATCAGGCTCAGTGTCGGACTGTTGGATAATTTTCAAACATTTTATTAAAAAGAAATAAACAAGATAAACAATTTATGAAATAAAATGCAAATTGTTGGCACCAGGAGTACCTTTTGCCACTATTGGTTATTGGGTTGTCTTTATTACCTCACTACTAGACATATTAGGCTGAGAATTATATGTTAATTCGCTCTTCATATCCACTTCTAGTTCAAACGATTCGTTAAACAGAATAAATACCAAGAAAAAATCAAAATGTGGTGAGAAATGTCCGCCGAGGCCATAGTTGACGATCTGCAAGGGCTCCGCGCTGGCCGTGCTGAAGCCGGTGAAGTAAGCTGCACGACGCGATACACGCGCCGCCACTGACGAGTCAACGTCGTACAGCCATGCCGTCTTGCTGATGCGGTACTTTGCGATCGTGTCATTCGTGAAATCAGAATAACCTGCCACTTCTGATCGTTTGAGCTGTGTGTGGGAACAAATATATTTTGATCGAAATTTAGTTTAACTTATCTTACCTAATATAATAAATAAAAAAGTTTAGATGGATGAATGGAAAGATTTGTTAGAAAATATCTCCGAAACGGTTCAAGAGATCTTGATGAAATTTGGAGCAGATGTAAAAGATAGTCTGGATGAACATTTAGGCTAAGTACTTGTTGAGTATTCTTTTCAATTCCACGCGTACGGAGTCGCGGGCGACATCTAGCTAGCAACTAAATTGACTAGTTTCAGCGGAGCTAGACAAAGTGCATTCAGAAGCGATTCGATAACAAACTTCAAAAATCTATATAAATATTTAGTGATTGTCGCGCCTCAGTTCCTTACATTTTTGAAGTTCGTTATGGAATCGCTTCGAAGCGAATTCATTTTGTCTTACTCTCGACCCCCTTCGGACGTACTATATGATGAATGATTTCTAGACTTCTTTTTAACTTTAATCAATTTATGATTTTATCAGACGGAATGATTACTCTTTCTTACTCTCTCTTTCGATAGGATCTTCAATTGTTCGATCTCTTCGTCGCTGATTACGTTGTAAAAGACGAACACGTCGGGTTCTATGTACAATTGCTCCGTCTTGATCGGTGCCAACTTCAGGAATGGATGAGTGTCTGTTAGGTAACTGCACTTTAATCTGGGAAGCGAATCATTGTTAAATATTTTATAAAGTTGCATGTCTATTTTCTTTTGTTTTAAATGTGACACAATCATCCCACGTGATTATTGCTTAGAAAGTGAATACGTGAAACAGTATACAGATTATGGTAGATTGTGAGCTCGAATTATATTTAGGAACTTATAAGAATGTGTACCTCTTTGTAACTTCTGTAGGCAAATCTATTTCCCCGCGACAAAGTGCTTCGTATACAAACTGTTCCTTAATGAAATACCTTTGATATTCTTCACTGCCTTCATCATCCTCCTCCTTCAATTCAATTTAAACATTTATGAGTACGGAACCAAAGTTAGTAAACTGATGAATCATCATCAGCTCTACCCTAAGTTAGAGGTGACTTGGCTATATTCAACCACGCTGGCCAAGTGCTGGTTGGTTGACTTCACACATATCTTTGAATTTCTTCTCAGATATCTGCAGGTTGCATCACGATGTTTTCCTTCACCGTAAGAACGTCGGATAAATGTACATATGTAAATCGGAAATCGAAAAACACATTAGTACATGGCAGGATTCGAAGCCAGGACGTGCAGATTGCAAGTACTTGACCACTGAGCCAACTGATGAATAGTGTTTTTATTATTATAAACCAAATAAAAAGTATAGTACTGTTAAGATTTTAAGATATAATATTTAAATAATGTTATTAAAAAAAGATAGCTCTGAGTTTATATGTTTTGTACGGACTATTTTCACAGAAACAATGCTAACTATAAAAAGAAATCTTGAAAAGTTCTACTATAAATTAAAAGAGGACGCATACCAATATGAATACGTTATCATATTAGCTACCCAGTTTAATTTATTTTTTAATTGCTAATGTAATTTGTTATGTACACTTACACTGGTGTCTTCCGTAATAGGTATTTCTTCCAACATCTCAATACTTTCCAGCGCACTTATAGAATCTTCAATTTTAATTGCATATTCCTTATCAATATTTAATATTTGCTTAGTCGATTTAAATACAGTTTTGGCATTATCTGTAAATATTTTATTATACTATTTTATAAAAGATTATTCCATTTTTATGTGTAGTTGTATTCTTTAATTCAATTAAGATAAAAGTAAAATCCGATCAGCGCGTCTCTCTCTATCAATTAGGTTAAAAGCCCAGCGACCTATATAAGCTATCGATTTGCGTTGCAAACTTTGTAGGCACTTATTCAATTGTAAATCACAGACTACTTTTATCATTGTAATAAATGCAAATGTTAAGATGGATGGATGTCTCCGATACTACTGGGTTTCCCTGAAATTTGGCATAGATGTAGAACATAGTTTGGAAAAACATATAAGTCGCTGGCGACATCTATTAAGTTATAATAATGATTATAATAACGTCCAAGGACATTATGTAAATTTATCAGTAAACGAGATAAATGTCGTATCTTCATAATTCATTTCCAATTAGGATTGTTTTATTCATAACCTAAAAATACAGACCCGCGTAGTATAAAGCATAACTAATATAATTAAGGATGTCAATCTCCGAAACTCCGTACGTTTCATTTTCCCTCTTGTATTTCCGAAGCGCTTCTATAAACCATTCTAGTGAATGCTTAAACTTTTTATGTTGATAAAGTGTTTGGCCAAGTTTGAAACAGTCGTTTACCGTCATCGGAATACTGTAAATGTAATAAATATATTTTGTAACAAATAATGTTAGATTAGATGCTTTAAAATCGTTTGAGTTCCATAAGATTTAAAGATCATAACATTGTTAGATTAACTTTTAAAATGGTTAATGTTTCTTGTTATAACACGTAACTTAATTTTATTTTAAGACATAAATTTGTAGTGGCAGTGAACGTGTTGAAGAAAATTATTTTACACAGTAAGATTTAATTTTATTGCCATTATATGAATACGAATTATGATCGAATTTCGACCAAGGACTGACCATTAATATGTATATAATATGCTGTTTACTAAAATAAAAGCAAATGTTTGGATGGATGGATGATTGTTACAAGATATATCTAGAACGGTTGCATAGATCTTGCTGAAATTTGGCATAGATGTTATATGTCTCATAGTCTCTAAGAACACATAAGTTACTCATTAAGTTTTTATTTTTAATTCCGTGCGTGTGGCGGGCGACAGCTAGTTATTATACAAGTAGAAATATTACCCAAATGATTCATTATTAAGTCTTTTTTCAGCGAGTTTGGTGACATTGAGTGCGTAAGTACTTTGAAGTCTCGAGAGCGCCAACGCTGAACCAATAAGATCCTCTATTGTAGGATAAACAAGATCTTCATGCCGTAGATTAATTGTGTCGTCTTCTAAATGAATAAATACTATTAACTGCCAAAGTCGTTATATTTAACAGACTTTTATCTGATATTTTATCTACACTAAGGGATGAGCGTCGGTGGCTCAGGGGTCAAGCACTTGACTTGCAATCTGCAGGTCCTGGGTTCGAATCCCGCCATGTACCAATGTGTTGTTCGATTTCCGATTTACATATATACATTTATCCGACGTTCTTACGGTGAAGGAAAACATTGTGATGCAACCTGCATATACCTGAGAAGCAATTCAAAGATATGTGTGAAATCAACCAACCCGCACTGGGCCAGCGTGGTTGATTATGGCCTAGTCACCTTTAACTTAGGGTAGGCTTCGAGCCCCTCGGTGGGGACGTATAGTGAGCTGATGATGAAGGGATGCTAATGTGGCTATTGACTGATTGGGGTAAATAGGATATATTTTTTATTTATTCTGATAATGATAATCATAACACCTGCTTGTGTTATCATTAGGTCTCCAATTTATTTGCAAATATCAGTCATCTATATTATAATCTTGGAAATATTAAATAACTTCTACTCTTATTAGTGTTTTAAGAAGAATTTGTCGTCACTTACTTGTGATATTTTGTATATTTAGTGTGAGATAATCTATATCGGAAGTGAGACGCTTTATCAGAGTGTACGCGTTAACAGGATTCTCCAAATATTCCGAATAATCTTTGGAGGCTAATTTCTTTTCCATTTTGTATATATTCAATTGTCTAAAAGAAGATATTAAAATGAAAGTTGGCGGCAGTTATTATTAACACTTTTGATAAGTTTCGTATGAAAAGTCACGCCAGGCGAGTCGGCAGTGAACGTGTTATAAATTAATTACGTTATTAACGCACAGTTGTCTCAATGATTTAATCTAACGAGATAAGCCAACACAAAATCTGCCACGCTTATAAATTTCTTAGAAATCATTATAGTTAATCAGGCAAAGGCAAGTTAAACTCCTTTTACAGTAGTTTTCAGATATCTAGGCGGCTCTTCAGTTCGCGCGAGTCGCTGCGCAGAACACAATGTTAGGTGTATCGGGATGCGGTGGGAGGCAACTGCGCAGTGCGCTGATCTCCTTGAGCCGCCGAGACATTTGAAAAGAACTGTACTTTTCTACTATACAATATACATTAGTGTGGATTATTAACACGTACGTTATCAAAGTATCAGCACTTTTCTTCTCTTTTTCAATGAAATATTCTAAATCCTCTATGGTCCTGTCTAGAGTGTGGAGCAAGGGCGCAAGTTCCGTTACCGCCGTATACACTTCCGCCTCCGTCCATAGACTTAATTTACAGTAGCAAATTAAAAATAATGATATTTTAAAAAACATTGTCGTAACGAGAACACGTTCACGCTAAAACAAAATTAAAGAAGTGATTTCGTGTGTGAATACTACATATTTTGATTTATAGAAATTTTATGGATTTTGTCGCGCTACTGAGAACAACTAGTAACTCAATGTTTGATACGGGACTTTGAAACCTCTTTATATAATTATATAACCATAAGCGCTATAAAAATCGGTAAACGGTAAAAAGAAGTAAAAAACAAGGGCAATAACATTCATTAAATTGATTTAATACTAAAATAGTATTTATAGTATACGAAATTTAGTTTTATTTTTACTATTAAAAAAATTAATAACCTGATATAAAAAATTAAATAAATAAGGTAGTATATAGCACAGTCAATATTTCAATGTACAACATGTAACGCACATGATTGACTTTGATTTAACGTGAAATTGTTAACAACAGTACTAATATTCACATTGGAGTAAAACATTGCTAGCGATAAATCTTGCGGATGAGGGTTTAAATTAAAAAAAAATGAATGTTTTAACACCAGTGGTCAGTCTTACTTTATTTCTTCTATTTAATATTGAAGGTTTCCCTTTCCTTTTACCTCCTCCTCCCATACAAGAGTTAGGATCTTTTAGCATACTGTTTGAAGCATTTTTATTTATTGGACACTTAACATCGGGTGTGCTTTCGTTTCTTTCTACAACATTATATTTCCACAATCCTCTTTCTTTTAGTTTTTCAATTAGGCAATTTGTAATGCTGATTGTAGGTAAAGCGTAAGCGTGAAATAAGGATGTTTCGCCTTTATTTAATTTGAAAATTCAATCTGTATTATCATCTGTATTTTTCTGATGTTTATGCTTAAAACAATCTTCTGGTATGTATGTGAATCGTAATTTTTTAGGCAATGGTGGGTTCACGAACTAAATTTTCCATCGTAACCATTCAACTGCAGAGTTCCACAAAGACGGTTCGTTACGTGCGATCACTTTCTTCTCTTCTCTTCTATTGTGGCATCTCTCTAACGATATCATTCACAATGAAATAATTAGAATTTCGAATTCGAATTCGAATTTCGAAATGCTGCTTAGTATAACGTTTATTTTTTACAAGAACACGAAGGAATATCTGATAAGATATTGAACGTACTACACCAGTACTCTAGGTTTGGCTTTTATAATTTTCCGCATAACCTCTTCTGGTTGATATTTCAGATTGCAAGGCGCAAGTAATTCTTGACCGAATTGATGGATCCATTTATTTGATACTGAAAAAAATTTGTAATCGTTAATTATCGTTTCGTTATTGTTTATTTATATGCTGAGTACTTACTCCACTTGGAGCCGCGCAGCACGGGGCAGCCGGCGTGACGCATGGCAATGTCAGCCTCGCCCGACGGGTGCAGGTTCATCCAGAATAACGCAGCGTTCTTTACGGGTAATACGCTCAGTCCCAGCTCCAAGAACACAGTGGCGCCCCCCTGCGCTACGTCGGACATCTTAAAAAATACAAATAATCGTTATTATTATACTTTTTTTTTAAATTTTACTTCATTATATCCCAATTCCTAAAAAGTAAGTACAATTGTTCAAAAAAAGTAAACATGAATAATAGATACTTACATACAATATAACTGTAGCTAGCCTCCTGTCGAAGGTACGTTTAAAAGGTATGTCATTTTTCTGAAATAAAATAAAAAAATAAATTTTATACTATAATAAATACTTCTAATTTACAAACGAACCTGCGTTTGAAGTATTACTGTGTTGGGACTTAGCGTACCAATTCAGAATCATAATGTGGTACGTAGTGTCCTCCGATGCCGTAGTTGACGACCTGCAGTTTCTCAGCATATGTCGTGCTTAGTCCAGTAAAGTCTGCAACACGCTGCGACACGCGCGCCACCACAGCCGACTCCTCGTCCTTCAGCCAGGCAAACTTGGCGATACGATAGTCCGACGGTGTCCCTTCTCCCATGGTATTGACGACAGTGGCTCGTTTGAACTGCATGAATACACGAGTAACCACTTAAAACTGGATGAAAACAATATCCTTAAAGGTGATAAAAGCCGTACATATAGATAGCTTGTAAACAATAGTATATATATTATTATGACTGAATGAATATTGCTAGTTCGTTCATGTCCTTACAATATTATTTAAAAATATATACTTATCTTTGTAGTTGTAATAAAAATAGGTATCCATATCTCCAAAAGCTTACATCGATTAACTAAAATATATGGTAATTGGCGGATTGTTTGGAATGGAATGATTGAACTGACCCTGGGTTTGGCCATGGCCTTGATATGCTCGATTTCCTCGTCGCTTATCACCCCATAGTATACAAACACGTCAGGTTCTATGTATACCTGCTCCATCTTTATCGGTGCCAGCTTCAGAAACGGATGGTTTTTCGTCAAATAACTGCATTTAAGACTGGAAATGTTTTTTGGATATTAGGATGAAAATATATGTTTCAAACCCGCATGTTATTCGAATGTTTTACAACTCACCTTCTAACAATTTGACTGGGTAGTTCCATTTCGCCGCGACAAAGGGTTTGGTACATTCTGTTATCCCTTTCTAAATAGGTATCGTCTACATCTTCATCGTCATCCTCTGCGTATTCCATTTCAAGTATCTTTTTCTTTTCTGTCACACTCTTCAAATAATATGGAATGTTATTAAGAGCATGTTTGTTGTTCGGGTCGAGACTTAGAATTTTTGTGGTCCACTCTAAAGCTGTTTGGCCATCATCTAAAAGGAGAAGACAATGTTGATTTCTTTACGAAGGCGAAAAATATAAAAGCTTTAATTTAATATACCTAATAGATAATGCAAATAGCTTATGTACTCCAATATATCGATTTCTGATAAATTGTGAACTTCGTCTTCTTTGTATTTGCGCAGCGCCTCTTGCATCCAGCGCAGAGAGTTGGAGTAGTCGTCGACTATGTAGAGCGTGCGGCCAATTTCGTAGCAGTCACTGGCGCTTAGCGGTGTACTGGGAAACAAAACTGTTTTATTCTAGATTTAAGGAGCACGTACCATACAAATACATTAATAACAATGAAAACCTTACTGGTACTCTAATCTGTAAGCACACATGACATCTGTGTTTTAGATCTTGTCCATAAAATTTTACGATTTCATATGAAAACGCAAACTCATTCATAGGTTTGTCTCCTCAAATTGATATACGTCTTTTCAAATATATTGGCGGCTCAAGGTTATCTGCGCAGTGCGTAGTGACCTACCGTCGCATCCCGCTACACCAAACATTGCGACTTGTAGAACGTTCTGAGCCGCCAAAATATTTGGCAATCTCTGTATTTACCTATAAACGATTCCATTTAATCTCCCCTGTGCCAGTTCTCCTACATCCAGTCGGTACGTATTCTGCAGCCGCGTGAGAGCCTGCACAGTTCCCGTCAGGTCCACCTCGGTTGGATATATCACTTCTGTGCCTTTAGCTGTCTCGTTCCTAACGTATTCTGTAGTATATTCATGTTGTGAACAATGATGTACTTCCCATTTTAATCCAGATATACAAAAATTGAATAGGGTACATTTATGTTTTTAATGGGAAATCAGATATGAATCTGACTTACAAGTATCTATAATAACATATCGACAAATATTTACCTGTTCCATTTTTTATTTTGTTTTCTATAAAATCTAAATCTATAGTAAGTCTTTTGATGAGAGTGAACGCGTTGATGGGATTGCCCAAATAGTTTTCGACGTCCGCCATCGCCATCTCGTGTTCTTTTCTGTACATATTTAACTGTCTGAAATATTAAAAATCATATAAACTGTGTCACTCCAGACAAGAATCTCCATTTGATTAGTGATAGGTTTACTTCTTTAAAACAGCAAGTCTTTTCTCTTCTTTTTGAATATAAGCGTCCAGGTCATCGATGATAATTTTGTGGGTCACTAATAGCTGTTCCATGTCCGATATTGCAGTGAACAGCTCGGCGCACGTCCATACCCAACAGTCGAAGAATAGCGCGATGCAAATGAGATATAGCGTATGCCTGTTATGCATTTGGACGCCGACAAAAAAAATTAAAGACATGAAATCCCAAAAACAAAATTAGAAGATCACACACAACAAACAGATGATAGAAATTATTATACGCAAAAGGGTACACAATTCCATCTGTATAACTTATTGAATTTCTTGTATACACTAATTTTGTCGGGAAGAAAAATAATAGAAAATGGCGGGAAACAATTTCAACCTTAACCTATTTATAACTACAACTTTTCACTGATAAAATTGAGAACAACTTTACCCCGATGTGGTTTGTAAAGTGTTTACCTCGGCAGTGGGTTATTACCTTGTTGCCGTCACCTCTACTAAGAACTATATGTAAACGTAAATTATCTGTAAAGAAGACAGTTTTCAAACATTTAAGTATAACAATTTGCTGGCAGACATTCTTCGTGGAAAGCAACGGGGTAAAAGCAGAAATACAAACTTACCATTATTAATTAAAGATTATCTTACATATAAAATTCTCGTGTCACAATTTTCGTTCCCATACTCCTCCAAAGCGGCTTGGCCGATTCTTATGAAATTTTGTGAGCATATTGAGTAGGTCTGAGAATCGGCTAACATCTATTTTTAATCCCGCGCGAACGGAGTCGCGGGCGACAGCTAGTTTTCTATAAAGGCACAAAACTCATATAGTAATATGGGGGAATCATTTCATTTACTACCGACTAACAACAATCACGGCAAAGGTAAATAATACTATTTAGATAAATAAAAAAAATCTTTTGTAACACAACGTTTAATTCTAAAAAAATGTTACGCGCTATTCTTTTGCTCTGGGCTTGGCTTTAATAATTTTCCGCATAACCTCTTCTCGTTGGTATTCCAGATTGCACGGCGCAAGAAATTCTTGGCCGCTTTCGTGGATCCATTTATTCGATACTAAAAACAAATATCAAATACATTTTGTAAATATATATCACAGAAAAATATGGCTCAAAAATAAATACAAATAACTAAGGCAATTAAACCAAGTTGAAATATTGCTCGTTCAAAAACAGCAGTACATCAGTTAAATTGCTCGCTTATACCTTTTTCCATAAAGAACATTGCCAGACTTTTAGTCTGTAACTTCATATATTTCAATTCTGCGTCTGTATGTGGTCGCCAATGTTGAAACCTTTGGCACATTGATCAATCTAACAGCTGATAGCTCACCCCACTTGGAGCCGCGCAGCACGGGGCAGGCGGCGTGCCGCGTCGAGAGGTCGCCCTCACCGGACGGGTGCAGGTTCAACCAGACCAGGGCGGAGCTCTTCACTGGGAACACGCTCAGTCCCAGCTGCGTGAACACAGTGGCGCCCCCCTGCGCCACCTCCGACATCTCAACAAGTACAAATAGTGTTAAAGCATTTGCCAAAATACTATGGGAATAAAGACTTTTGTAGACATTATACATACATAGAATAAAACTGTAGCTATTCTGTTGCCGTCGGCAGATTCATAAGGTAAGTCGGTTTTCTGTAAAAACATAATTGTACTTTTTCGTGTTCGTGCTGAATTAAAAAAACTCAATTAGAAGCCTTTGTGTCCTTTCATGCTATGATCTTCCAGAAGTTCTGGAAATAGGTATCTTCTAGAAAATATCCATCTATTAATCCATCTAAACATTCTCATTTATAGAAAAGCAAGACAAGGCGAGCAAAATATGTGACAGAGGTTAAAAGTTTTTCATGTGACATACCAAAGTAAAATCATAATGGGAATCGTAATGTCCTCCGATGCCGTAGTTGACAACCTGCAGCAGCTCGGCGGAGGCCATGGTAAGACCGGTGAAGTCCGCAACACGCTGTGAAACGCGCGCTACCACTTCTGATTCCTCATCTGTCAACCACGCAGATTTACTGATGCGGTAGTCCGCTGACATAACCCCTCCATTCGCACTGCGGACCGTGGCACGTTTGAACTGCAATACATATATGACTTTATAAAACAACAATATAATTCACTACCGTAACCCAAAGGGGTATGCAGAAACCTCGGACCTCTCGCTATACGCAACTAAAGAAATTATAGGGAAAGTGTATTTGACGCAAGAGTGGAGACATAGATAAAGGTTAACATACTTTTATTACAACATTGACGTCCATAATATCCATCACCGGCGGTCAAAAGGTTAAAAACTTATGTAAATAAACAGTGTCTGCTTGTTTTTTTTTAGTAATACAGTTTATTTCTACAAAGGAACTGACCCTGGGCTTGGCCATATCCTTGATGCACTTGATCTCCTCGTCGCTCATCACCCCATGGTACACGAACACGTCAGGCGCTATGTATATTTGTTCCCTCTTTATTGGAGCCAGCTTCAGAAATGGATGATTTTTCGTCAAATAACTGCATTTAAGTCTGTATTTGGAAGAAAAGAAAGTAAATTTGAACAAAAATCTGTACGATATTTCACTAAAGTCATTATAATAATACTGTTTAATGGCATACAACTTACTTTCTACTTATTTGACTCGGCACAATCATCTCACCCCGGCAAAGTGCTTCGTATACTTTTTTCTCTTTCTGTAAAAATGTTTCTTCTTCGACCATCACCTAAACGAAAATATAATAAGATGAAAACATTTCCAAATAACACTTATAGAAATCATAGCAATAATTTAATTAGTTTGCCTTCTTTTATAATAAAATGACGTATAAGGCTTTTCAAATATCTTAGCAGCCCACGGTCATCGGCGCGCTGCGCTTTGCTACTTTTCGCTCCGCTACTTATAAAATTGTGTTTTGCACAGCGACTCGTACGATTTTCCGAGCCGCCAAAATATTTGACAACTACTATACCAAATAATTATTAAGATGGTATAAGTTAAACTTGCCTCAGTGTTATTATTTTGAAGCCTCGCTTTCTTTTCTGCTACACTCTTAAGGTAAAATGGAATATTGCTCAGTGCGCGTTGATGGTTTGGATCGATGCTAAAAAGTTTTGTGGTCCATTCTAAAGCTTTTTGACCATCATCTGAAAGGTAATGGAAAATATAATCTTACTTTTTACTAATATTACAAATGCGAAGTTTGTTTTGTTGGATGTATGGTTGTTTGAAACAGAGATATATTAGTCTGGAATAGCGCATAGGTAAATTTTTTTTTAATCCTATGCGTTCGTAATTATGAGCGACAACCAGGTTACTTAAAATACGAAAAACCAAAAGGGATAATTTGATGGATTTCACTCTTTAACTATACCTAAGAGGTAAAACAAATAGCTTATGTATTCCAAAATATCGACTTCTGTAAAGTTGTAGTCTTCATTTTCCTCCTTGTATTTGACAAGCGACTCTTCCATCCAGCGAAGAGAGTTTTTGTAATCTTTGACATTGTACAGTATACGACCGAGCTCGTAGCAATCACTGGCAGTTAGTGGTGTTCTGGAGATCATAAAACTATTAAGTAATAAAAAAAATAAACCCACCTTATTATAAATTTATCGAATGACGTCACCTTTACAAAAACGGTTCAGTTGCAGGTCGTCACATAGTATACAAACTTACAAACATATTTACAGATTCGTAACAAACATTAGGAAAGAAAGAAACACGTTTATTAACACACAGATACAAGCGAAAAATACACACAACACAGATTTATAACAACGCATATGCAATTGCGTATGTCTATGCGCAACGGTCACTTCGCTATATCAGCGATTTCAAGTGGCCGCTCGCTAGTTTTCCACCTTTGATTTTAAAAAAAATATTTTAGCGATATTAGGATGGTGGCTTACTTTTGGCTATTTCGCATAAGGAATAACAAATATTAATCATATTATTAAATACAGCACATTATGAAAGCTAATTTATTGGAGTTATTTAAACTTCCTTTGGGGTATAAACAATATATATTAATATATTTAATGTTAGCACAAGTGAAAAATATGTTTGACTTACGAAACCGCTGGTTGGCTGACTCCGCTGAAAACGACATTGAGACAAATCATGTTGAAAAATTAAAAAAAAACTTCTGAATTGGATGAAATGAAAAATAATCATGTTGCATAGAACTAAAAGGGCACTTTAAAAATATGCATTAACATTATTTTATCTTTTACAAAATTATTACTTTTATCAAACTATTTTTTAAAAATAGAACATTTGTAAATAGTAAGAAAGAATTAAAATAAATTCATAATATTTATGGTTATGGTTTACCAACAAATATTCAGTATTGTTTAGAATAAATAAATTCCTTTTTATAGGTTCAAAATGATAATTACCTGTAAATGATTCCATTCAACCTTCCCTGTGCCAGTTCTTTTATATCGAGTTGATATGTGTTTTGCAGCCGAGTAAGAGCCTGCGCAGCTCCAGTCAGGTCCTCATCGGTGGGATATCTCACATTTATGATGTTTGATGTCTCGTTCCCAACGAACGCTGCAATGTTTCCATACAATGCCTTTTATCCTAAGTAAGGTCAGACGAGGCCTATGATATTGTGGTTGTCTTGGACCACACAACAGAATTCTTTCCACAAATAAAGATTCCCTATTATCTCTTATTATCCTAAGTTTGTAAGTAAGGAGCGTCGGTGGCTCAGGAGCAAGCACTTAACTTGCAATCTGCAGGTCCTGGGTTCGAATCCCGCCATGTACCAATGTGTTTTTCGATTTCCGATTTACATATGTACATTTATCCGACGTTCTTACGATGAAGGAAACCATCGTGGTGCAACCTGCACATATCTGAGAAGAAATTCAAAGATATGTGTGAAGTCAACCAACCCGCACTGGGCCAGCGTGGTTGACCTAATCAACCTTAACTTAGGGTAGGCTCCGAGACCCTCGGTAGGGACGTATAGTGAGCTGATGATGATGATCCTAAGTTTAAAAAAATATTATGAGGTATGACGTATCTAATTATATTACCACTGGAAGTTCTTTGTCATTTTAACATAATTTATTGCATTGTTATATTAAAATAATATTTTTTCAAGGTCAACGCGTGTTTAAACGCAATAAACACTTGCTGCGCAAACTTATTATAGATGTAACAACTGTTTAGAATGTTTGTATGATATCCCATATCAACGTAAACCACTTATGTAATTGGAATAATTTTGAAACAATTGTGTTTGCGTATGTATGATGGTAAATCAATAGTGTATTTTACAATATTCCTTTACAAGTCGAGGTTATAACTAGTTTTAGAAATGTACATTTCTTAAAAGTAGGTATCCTTGCTTTGCTAATATATTTTTTCAAGTTCACAACTAGTAAATAAAATTATACAATTAAAAATGATACGCCTTACCTGTGCCGAGTTTAATTCTATTTTGTATAAAATTAAAGTCTGTAGTGAGTCGCTTGATGAGAGTGAAAGCGTTGATGGGATTGCCCAAATAGTTGTCTATGTCCGCCATCGCCATCTCGTGTTCTCTGTTGTACGCATTTATTTGCCTAAAACATTCATGACCTTGTGGTCTTCCACGTGGTTCCACACAAATACGTGGTTGTCCACGAAATGTCAGTATTTGCTTACATTAATTCAATAATACCAATGAGAAATCAGATTTAAATTAAGGATTAGAATTTTAAAGTGCGTGACGCCGGTTCACGAGGTGGTCCTTGTTCACTTTTAGGATCGACTAAACTTACTTTTTTAAAACACCAAGTCTTTTCTCTTCTTTTTGAACATAATCATTCAAGTCATCGATAATTTTTTTCTGGGTCTCCAGTAACGGTTCTAAGTCTGATATCGCAGTAAAAAGCTCGGCACTTGTCCATGCCCACCAGTCCATGGCAAGGACGATGCAAGCGACGTACAGCATAGGTTTGTGATGCATTTTTATACCGTCGCTGAAACAACAGACAAATCTATCTTACTATTATTATAAATGTGAATGTTTAGATGGATGGATGTTTGTTAGAAGGTACCTCCAGATCACCTCAATAGATATTGATGAAAATTAGCATAGATCAAGAACAAACTCTGCATGAACTCTTTCCGTCCAACTTCCGTCGACTTCCGATGCTGACTCTCAAGGTGCAGACTTCCTTCCCTTGCCCCCGCCACAAGCCCAGCGCCCGGTTGAGTTTGAGAGATTTTAAAGTACCCACATTTGTGGGGAAGATAAAAATGAGTCTAGGTACCTACGTTAAACCGCGTATTTAATTCAAATTTATAGTCCGTCATCTTCAATGCATCCGCATCGCTATTTGTCATATTTTTTAATTTATATCGTAAGTTTAATTTTAAAAAAATTATTCACCATCAAGAAAAATATGAAATCTAAATGCCAATTTACAGCTCGATAAAAAATAAAAACGTGAATAATACTACAGTAAAAAATTAAGTAGTAATTTTTACAACAATATAATATTTTATGGGAATTTTTAATATGTAAAACGTGTTTACCTTGTCGATAGGTTACCACACGGCGCGTCGCCTCACACTGTACTGATGAGCCTTAAAAAAAAACTTTTTAAACACCTTGTTACATATTTGTCATTATCTTCGCAGATACACGCAGCCTCAAGGCCTAATTATTTTTTTTCTCCGAATCTTGTTAAAATTTGATATGTAGAACATAGTCTATAAGAACAAATAGGCTACTAAATAAGTTTTTTTTTAATTACGAGGACGGAGTCGTGAGCTAAAGGTATTCTGAAATAAGAAAATTATAAAATTTAAAACATTTATTTGAAGGAATGATGTTTCATTTATTCCGTTAATAGCATATCTTATTTACTCTAGGTCTCCACTGTTGCAACATTCGTATTATTATTCTGTAAAAACACTGGGATGACAATATTGGGTACCAAAAATACCGGGAGTGGAAACCAAGGGTAACACGAAATCATTTAAACTTAAAACAAAATATAAAATCATTCAAAAATATTAACATAATAATCAATACTAAAATCTTTGAACATCTTATAAATAAAATATTTATAGAAAATGTATAATAAAAGATTTCACTGTCTTACTTATATTTTCATAGCAAATTTTTGTTCGCAATATTATATAACTTAATTATTATTTATTTATTACATTTTTTTATTAAATTAATCGTAAAAAATAATGTAAATAAATGCTTATAATGGCTTTAATAAGATTTTAATTAACTAAAATTAATGACTAACAGTTTAACGTGTTAGAAACACTAAATATAAAAAGGTCCTTTATTCAGACTGTAGGGAGACGGCAAAGATATTTTAAATTTGATAAAATTTATGCTTAGAAACATAAAATTGAATTACATATAGAATATAATATTATTCGACAAGATCTAAGCAATTATATTTTTTGCAATGACAACTTATACGGCAAGGTAAAAAATCACTTAATTTTAACACAAATTATTTGGCCTCTATAGCTTATTAGTAAATTGAGATTCGCATAAAAATGCCTAGCAATTATTTTAGTAACTAAATTTGTTCTATTTGTTTATTTCAATTAAATTATAATAAAATATTTTTTTTTAGTTAAATTGTTGAAAAATAAAGTTGATTGATCACTCATCAATTTAAGGAAATACCCAATTCTTTGGATTTAACGGTAATATACGGTGATACGAGAATATTTGAATACCTTTATACTACTTATATATTTTTTTTTTAAATTCTAATAAATTCATAGAAAAAAGACCCGACCAATGACTTGACAAAGTGTCAAGAATAATGATATGTAAACAAATAAAAAAATCAGTCATAAATAATTGAATACATCATCATGGTCCTTCGAGCAGGATGTAAAAAAACTGTTTTTTTAATAAAGTTAATTAAATTTAAGCGGTTAAAGTAATTATTCAAGAGAAAAAACTGTTATTTTTAATTAAATATACAGCTCATATTGAGTGCATTGGTTCCAAGTTAATTGAATCTTGACACTTTCCTATATTCGATTTAATTCCCTGAATATTTAGGTACAACAAATGTAATTTTATTAAAATAAATGTGTCCTATCTCGATGTTCTAGGGATAGGTCTTGGAATTTTGCGCATAACATCTTCCCGTTGATATTCCAGGTTGCACGGCTTCAGCAGCTCCTGACCTCCTTGATGGATCCATTTATTTGAAACTAGAAAAGTAACATTCATATAATTGTAACCTAGAACTATTGCAGTACTGATAACAAGTTAATAGTAAGGTAAACAATATTTAAAGGTAATTCATATTACTGGCGTACGCAAAATCAGCAGTTAGAGTCCTTTTCCACTAAGTAAATGTTATAATCTTACTATTATAAATGCGAGTGTTTGGATAGATGTGTGTTTGAAATTTTTCATAAATGTAAAACAGTGCGGAAGGATACATAGGCTACTAATTAAGTCTTTTTTTTAATTGTCGGTATAACAGTGTATGCGGTAACTGACCCCACTTGGAGCCGCGCAGCACGGGGCAGGCGGCGTGGCGTGTGGCAATGTCGCCCTCGCCCGACGGGTGCAGGTTCAACCAGAACACGGCCGCGTTCTTCACTGGGAACACACTCAGCCCCAGCTCCGTGAACACAGTGGCGCCCCCCTGCGCCACCTCCGACATCTGTCAACAATGGTAGAACCATTGAATCAAAGACATTAGGGAATGAAATCCTTGATAATAATGTGAATATCTATTGTAATACTTACGTAAAACAAAACTGTTGCTATTCGGTTTCCGCTAGACTTTTTGAAGGCGTTCTCCTCTTTCTGAAATTAAAATTGCTTGTTATTTTATTCTGTTAGTAAGCAACAAAAACATGAAAAAAATAATTATAAAGACACATCACATAAAAACATAACAATTAATAAGAAAAAGGAAATATTTAACACGAGTATTGCAATACTGATTGACTCTATCCCTTTGAATATTCATGCAGTATAGCTTGATACCGTACGACGCACCCTTGCGAAGTCAAAGTGCGGCTCGTAGTGTCCTCCGATGCCGTAGTTGACGACCTGCAGCTCCTCAGCGGTGTCCATGGTGAGGCCGGTGAAGTCGGCCACACGCCGCGACACGCGCGCCACCACATCTGACTCCTCGTCCTTCAGCCACGACGATTTACTGATGCGGTAGTGAGCTGGGACTAGTTCCCCTGTCTTCGGGTCGTGGACCACCGCGCGTTTGAACTGGAAAATTAATAATAAATCTTAAAGAAATAGGTTTAATATGTATTGCAAAAGTTTGTGTGAGAGACCACGGTGGCGCTAGTGTCGTTTAAATCTTTCAACTGCAGTAATTTTATATGACAATTTCGATGTAAATTTCACCGCATCGAATACAAGATGTGTTTGATTCGGCTGATTTAAGTTTAAACTGTGATACCATAATTTTAAAAAATATATTATTCACGATATAAAAATTATTTTTTCTGAAAGAACTTAAATGATCCTTAATTGATTCTTCTTCATTTTGACGTATAATACATATAATTTTCTAACTGACCCTTGGTTTAGCCATATCCTTGATATGTTCTATTTCGTCATCACTCAGGACCTGATGGAAGACGACAATGTCAGGCCCGATATACATCTGCTCCATTTTTATCGGCGCTAACTTTAGAAATGGATGGTTTTCTGTCAGGTAACTACATTTTAACCTGAAAGCACAAAAAAAAACTTTTAATAAATAAACAATTACCTAAACCACATTGGAAAATACAAACATAAAAATCAAATCACACTGTTTAAAATTTTTTTTTTTCAAAATGTTCCAGTACATACTATAATTTTTTTTTATCTACGTTTTGTTTCAATGAGAATGAATAGACTAATATTTTTATACATCATGTTTTTTAACCTGCAAATTATTTATTATTAATTATTATTTTTAACGAGAAATTATTTGTAATGGTTTATAAAATTACCTTCGACTTATTTCGCTGGGTATTTCCATTTCCCCCCTGCACAGAGCTTCGTATACTTTGCGTTCTTTGCTGAGGTAAGACATCGGCTTCGAGTCTTCTTCTTCATCATCTTCTCCGGTTTCCTGTAACATTCAATAACACAATAACTGTCGGTTTCTGAAGCTCTGTGTAAAACATATGATTTAAACGGAGATTTGTCTCAGAAACCCACTGTAAATGAATGAACACTTTCCACGACACGATATATTCGTCATCTTAAAGCAAAGGTAGTGACTTATCAGGCGAGTCAGCCGTCAATTTCCAAGTTATTAAAGATACGAGAACTGATATAATAGTGTCTTTAATATTGTTCTTGTACTACAATACTATAAAAAGAATCTACAAACACGAATGCATGTTACAAATTACTATTATATAAATAAACTAATGATTTTTTACGAGCACTCAACAAACACATACCGTAGTAAATGTATTATCGAGTTTGTATAAAAATCTCCTATCAAACAGTAATATACTTGACTGACCCCTCTCCGTTTCCTCTTGAGCCTGGCCTCCTTCTCTGCGATGGTCTTCTGGAAGTGCGGCACGTTGCCGCGAGCTCGAGGATGCTTCGGCTCTAAAGCTAACAGCTTCTTAGTCCATTGCAGCGCCGCCTTCACCTCACCTACCATACATCACTTTCAGTTATTACGTGCTCCAATATTGAGAAAAACTTCTACTCACTATAAATGTCAGCATTATCAAGAGTTGTTACAGCATTAAATATACTTTAGAAACAAAAAAAACAGAGTACTCTGTGTACTGTAATCCTTATCATGATTTACGACAAATTTCACTCGAAAAAATCTTAAACATTTATTTAATTACTTCATAATTTAATTATAACAATTTGTTTTTACTATGGATGCACTCGGCTACGGAACTTTTTTTATAATTACGGCACAGACGATAAGGAACATAATTTTATTTTTAGGGTTCCGTACCTCGAAAGGAAAAAAACGGAACCCTCATAGAATCATTTTGGCGTCCGTCCGTCTGTCTGTTAACACCCTTTTTTATAATTGAGAATGTATAACTATGCACAAACGGAACAAAAGTATAATATTAAAAACCGTACATAATATAATTTATGATGGAGCAATGTGTTAGAAAATATAAAGAGCTTTTCACTTTATACATAGAAAAAGAAAAACTTACCTAACAAATAATGTGAGAAGCTAATATACTCTAATATGTCGACCTCCGTAAAGTCGTACACCTCGTTCTCTTCTTTATATTTACGCAGCGCTTCCAGCATCCAGCGCAGAGAGTTGCTAAAGTCTTTCTCGTTGTACAACGTGCGGCCTAACTCGTAGCAGTCGCCCGCACTCATCGGAGTACTGCCACAAAATAAATATATCTTACTTCTAACTACCTTAGTATATAATATTATAAATGTAAATGTTTGGATGGATAGATGTTTCTTTGGAGGTATCTCCAGAACGACTGAACGGATTTGGATGAAATCTGGCATACCTATACAATGTAGTCTGGAAGAACACATAGACATCTGGAAGAACTCATATTTTTTATTGAATTTCGCGCGTACGTAGTCGCGGGCATAAGCTAGTATGTACATAAATATTTCAAACAAACTCCTAACCGCTTCTGTGTTGTTAACTTTATTTAAGCAATATCTTTGTGTATATTTACGAAAATCTTCACTAAATGTCTCGCTTAGGAAAAAATTAATGATTTTCGGTATTCCCATAAACAAGCTAATATCACTTTTCATACAAAATACTACAAATATTAAATTTTGATATTTTGTAAAAAAAATTGTGAGATAAAATGAAGTTGTACAACGTGGACAACTAATATTACTGAGAAAAAAGTTTTTTACCATTCTTGAATATACGAGTTATATCGTAGTGTGCAGTTTGTCTACGTTTGGATTAGAACAAGTTTTATACCTATAAACAACTCCATTGAGTCTTCCCTCGGCTAGTTCTCCTATGTCTAGCTGGTAAGTGTCCTGCAGACGAGTGAGTGCCTGCGCCGCGCCCGACAAGTCCTCCAATGTCGGATACTTCACGTCCGCGTGGCTCACCGTTATGTTCTTTATGTATTCTGTTAAACAAAAAAAATACATAATTTATTCCTATTTAAGAACAAAAAAAATGTAAACAACAAGGTCTTTTCGTATTCAATTTTAAAAAATATATGTAAATTCGAATATCTTACTAATCTCACTCTTACTAATATTATAAATAAGCAAGTTTGGATGTATGAATGGAAACATCCATTCGTATAAATATATTATATAATAAACATATTAGAAGATATCTCCAGAACAGCTCAACGAATCTAGATAAAATGTAACATAGATATAAAACAGAGTCATAGAAAAGAATACATAGGTAATTATTAAGTTTTTTTTTTTATTTCGAGCGAACGAAGTCGTGGGCAAAAGCTAGTAATTTATAAATTCTTTAAAACTGTCGTCACGTCACTCCCACGAAAAGAACAAACAAAATTTAGCACATATTTATTTATGTTAGTCGTGACTCTTGCACCGTTGACTTTGACACTTGAAAAGAGGAAAGATTTATATTTTGACATGGGTACTCTACACCAACATGTTAAGATAATTTAATGTTTAATACGTAGAATATATAAAACACTATCAACTCGTCAAGAACGTAGTCCTTTTTAAGGATTTTATAATTTTCCTTTCCCTAATCTAAATAGGTTAGAAAAGACAATTCGATTTTTTTTGTCTTTGCGTTTATTCTGTTTTATTTAGTTTTAATTGATTGTGGAAAACAAAAATTATACTCTATAGAGTGAAAAAACATCTCCATTAAGCAGGAAATATATAATATAAGCAAATGTCACGTTAAATTAGCATTTTGTGATTTATTTCTGCTAATAGGCCGGGTGATAACGCAATACTAGAGCAAATATTTAAAAGGTAGGCAGCTCAGCTAAGAATTAAACTTCGAAGACTTTTATTTGCCAAGCATTTATGACGAATAAACGAATAAATATTAACAGCTCAGATGACATAACTAAGGAATTTTTATACCTTTCCACAAAAAGTTTTTAACAAAATCAATTTGATCAACATACCGGTATACACAAGATCCTGTCGATAAAGTTAATTAACTGTAACCGTACTAAATAAAGCACGCAATAAAAACATTTGACATGTGCTAAAACCTAACGGGTCCCCTATATACAGGTTCTTGGGATAGGGTATTTGACGTTATCTGACTAATATTATAAATACGAATGTTTAGATGGATGGATGTTTGTATGAATGTATCTCCGAAACGGCCGCATGGATCTCGCTGAAATTTGGCATAGATGTTGGGTACAGTCTGGAAGAACACATAGGCTACTTTTTAAGTTGTTTTTTTTAATTCCGTGCGGATAGAGTCGCGGGCGACAGCTAGTTGACTTATAAAATACGTAATGTTAAGGAAAATGTATCAAATATACTAAACAGACAGGCTTCCTAATATAACATTTTGGACCACATTTTAACTCTTTGAATTTTTACTATTTCTGCCGTTATTAATTTTACAACATACTAGCGGTCGCCCGCGACTCCATCTGCGCGGAATTAAAAAAAACATAATTAGTAGCCTATGTGTTTTACCAGAGTATTTTCTATATGTGTGCCAAATTTCTTCAAGATCCGTTCCGTCGTTATGGTGATAACTTCAAACAAACATCCATGCATCCATCCATCGATACATATAAACATACGCATTTATAATATTAGTGTAATTCGTTTATCGATACGAAATCCGAGTGTTATATGAACGGAAAAGTTTACCGTTGTACGACCTCTATCTATCTACCTCTATTGATTTGTAATGATATGAAAACATCCATTATTCTTATTCCAATGCAACGATTGGTGAACTCACATTGTGCTACAAATTCCGAACACGTGTATGCACTGTTTGTCAACGTAATTCATCATTTAGAAAGAATATAAATTCAATGACGTCCGTGACCGCGGATTGACCCCAGCCAAACATACTTACGAATTACTTCTAACTTTTAATATAAAAAAAATAACTTGGTTTTGCCAAACTGTATATTTTAAAATGTCATATGCATATTTGGATAGATTGTTGGATGTTTGTTTCAAGGTATCTCCAGAACAGCTGCATACATCTCGCTGAAATTTGGCATAAATGTAGAACATAGTCTGGAAGAACACCTAAGAAAATTAGTTTTTTTTAATTACACGCGAACGGGGTCACAGGCGATAGCTAGTGTTAATATAAATTTTATAAACGTATATTATTCTAATTTTAAAGGTTACCTTAGGTGACCTGAGCGGAAATTAAAGCAAAGTGTTCGTAATATATATAAATATTCTGTAAATAAATATTTTATTCTTACCGGTTCCAATCTTGATGCTCTTTTCAATAAAATCTAAATCAGTTGTCAATCGTTTGATGAGGGTGAACGCATTGATGGGATTCCCCAAATAGTTAGGAATGTCCTCCATCGCCATTCCATGTTCTTTCTTGTACAGATTCAGATGTCTACAAAGTAAAAGTTTGTTATAGTTATATCTTGGAATGCTATCAACTAAAGAAGTGAGAGAAGTTAAGAAGATAAAATTTAGTTATGTAACGTAAAAAGATACGCAACTGGGTATCTTCACTCAGATTAAGGGTTGACCCCGAAAAAGATTCACATATCTGTTTGGGGGTCATTATTTTGGAATAAGTAAGTTATGTCAGTATCGTACTTTTTCAAAACGTGTAATCTTTTCTCCTCTTTTTGTATATAATCATCAAGGTCATCAATGATCCTCTTGTGAGTCTCCAGTAGCGGTTCCACCTCCGATATAGCGGTGAAAAGCTCGGCGCTCGTCCATGACCACGTATCCAGGATAGCGAGGCAAACAGCGTAAAGCAAATAATTGCACCGCATTTTGTGACCTGTAACAACAAGAAAATAACTAAGAATTTAAGAGTTTTAGGGTAACGGGTGGTTTATCTATGGATTTTTATTGAAAAAAAGTTATAGACTATACTTAAAGCTCTGTAGGAAGCTTTAAAAAACACAAAATAGACTATAGATTAGGTACAGTAAAACAGGATGTCAATAAAATCTCATCAACCAATCATATATCTCGGAAGTCCATTAATTCTTATAAATGTTCTTCAATTCTCATTACAAAAAGGTTTTGACTTTGCTTAGGACAGCGACCTCTTCTTTTTCTTTTTTTGAGACTAATGACTATTATTTTATTTACTAATGACTAACACCTAAAAGCCAACCGGTTAAATGTCACATGAGTCAAAGTATCAAGCACGTAGCTAATGATTACACTTTGTTACCGTGGGTGGTGTTTACACTGGCGAAACTCGCATAATATTGTCCCTCTCATCTTCTTTGAAAAAAAACAGAGATAACGTTATGTTAATTATTACAGCAGTTTATCCCTTAAAAACATCGAACAAAAACATAGAACAAAAGACCGATAGGTAACAGTTTTAGCTCTACTAACGCCCTAGGGTTAACAGGGTTATGTGAGACTGTATAATACGCAGACCTATGGCACCATTTCTGACCATCGGCCTGGGTTGTAGCTCAATTACTTGTTACCCTAACGCCGGCTCTGACCTAGTTATTTGACTATCCTGGTTAGATAATGTAAAGTAGCATACAATTATTGGATTCCTTTTGTCGAATCAACAAATAATTTACAAGTCTATCAACGTTCATGTTCTAAGGCCAATATTGTACATAATTTAAAATAAATATACTGTTATGTATAAACACAAACTAATAAGACAAACTCATGCTGTTGCTGCTGTGGGGTACCTAATAGTCGTATAGAATAATCTTAAAGTAAGAAACCATAAAGAAAAAATAATTATCTTAGAATTTTAGTTGCATGTCGACCTTAACTTTTTGGCTATTCTAATATATTAAATGTTTGACATTATACGAATAAAATTCATATAACTTAGTTCCTCGTAATCACGAAGTGTTATAAAAGTTACAGCCGCGGCACGAATGCTGCATTCACATATATTATTACTTAAACATTTTAGGTTATATTTTAAAGCTCTAAATAAATTTTATATTTTATTACAAGAAATGGCCGGTTTAGTAAAAAAAATTAGTAAGATATAACTGTAAATACGTAATATTGAAATACAAATATTTTTAAATATTAACCAAATAAATATTTATTTAACTTCAAAATATTCTAGAATGTAAAATGTGTAACAATTTATGCAAATAAAAAACCTACCGCAAATCACACCAACAATTATAACAGTTAAATACATAGACAAGAATGTAGAAACAATCAAACACGATCCTCATTGCGAGTACATAGCTAAACAAGCAAATGATCTAATTTCCAAATACATAACTTACCGACAAACGCGTTACTAGCGATAACACTAAATGTACACAGCAATAAATATTACGTTTATTTATTCTGGTCCACCTGTTCGATTGACAACTTAATTCACAATCTGCAAAACTAAACTTCCTTTCTCGCGACTCATACGTGACGAGTGCGCCAGCGCACAGCCACACTCGTCAGGTCAATGAACAAATAAAATCTGTCCGTTCAGAAGCTAGCAGCGACTGACCTTATCTAACGCGTTGCTGACATATAATAAACGATGCGTACGTAACAATCAATTCATATTTAGTACTCAATTAAACTAGCAATTGCTTTTTTGGGTCATGTATACTCAATGCAAACTTTAAATGGTAACAACCTCTTCGTAAATTCTCAAACTTAACTCACTTAGCAGTAATTTAACGACTCTGTTAACGTAAAAATACCGGCTTGAATGATTGGAAAAAGGTATATAAAAATATATAGTAGCTACTGGAATTTTAGAGATCTTTCTACGTTATCAACCGGCTCGACGGCGACGTGACTACACACAGCGGAAGCTTATCTGCCATCTCATGGCATATATATGAAGTATAGTAAAAGCTGATCATGTATATAACATTCGGACCACACTATTTTTTTTCTTCATAAATAACGTTTTTATTTTTTACGTTACAAACGATTTTTACATTATATTGTTTGATAGTTTTGATTCGAACGAAAATAGAACTTTATCGTGATACTGCTATTTGTTAATAGAAAAGATATCTGAATTTCGCTTTAAAAAAATCTACGAACGAATATTTCTCGTCATTTTTTATACAATGAATGGTTACGATAACTCTCCCAAATAATGTGACATGCTTGTTACAGAATAGTTTTGCATTGCTTATTTGTACAATCGTCTCTTGAAAGTGGATACATTATAATTGAGAGGAAATACAGATGTCGGCAATTTGGTCTGCCCCTAGCAATGCAGATTCAATGACTAGCAAAGATTTAAATTGTTTTTTGTGTTTGGGATAAGTATCACGATAAAATAGAGACTAGAAGATAGACCAAGTATTTGATGAATGAGTTTTATTGGTATATAAAAGTAGCATTATGACACAGAAGGGTAAGGATCACCTAAAATAAATAAGGAATATTAATTATTAACCACTACACTATGAAGATTTTGATCAATATGATTCTAAAAGAGTTAACCAAAAATAATTGGTTTCAAAAACCTTTGTTGTTTAAAATACATATAATTTTCAATTTTTGGTTTATTTCTTAATGTTGGGTTATAGTATTTAGAAACAATAAAACAGTAAATAAAAAATAAGGAAATAATTCAGCAGTATGCAAATGAAGTGTTGATTTGATTTTTTTCCCATGTAAGGAAGATAGTCATTTGATTTCTTTATAATAGCTTTAACTCATAATTATGATTAGAAACGGCAATCTTAAGTAAAAAGTATTTATTTTAAAATCCAAGACAAATATGCTTACAGTTGAATAAAGAAAAACTGAATAAGAGAGAAACCTCTAAGTGAGAGTTATTGTCCAGTCTTGATGGATGACCTTTTCGTTGAGGGAAACCTCTATAAGTAAGAAAAATTTGCGGTGCCTTGGAGTTTCGTTCATTCAGGTTCGATTGTAAATCATAAAATTACATCCATCATACTGGACTGACATACTATTTATTGTGATTTTTTTACTTAATAAAATTAAATTGGAAATTTTAAAGATCTCAATTACAAACATATTATATGAGACATTTTAAAAGAAACGCAATTATATAAAACAGAAACGTTATAAGGCTGACAAATATTCTAAGAACAATAACAATTAACTTTATATGTTTTTGAGTACGATTACAATCTCTATTGACATCTTCATAACCCGAATTAAAGGATTAACATACTTAAACAGATCTGAAAGAAAATAATTTAAATATATATTTATATATACATAAAAAATATACTAATATAACTAGATATTGGTACTTACGTGACTTGAAGACTTCTATGTACTTGATTAATTGTGTCGACGTTTTAATTTGATCTTAATAAATAGTATTGACATAGTAAAATTTAAGTAAAGTCGCGTACAATACGACAGTACAAATATATGTGGACCAAGCCAATAAAATCAAATTGGAAATTGATGGAACGCTTTATTTAGCTTCACTTTGACATTGACATTTCACAATACAATTTTTTTCATAGAGTATCTTAGGTATTGTTTGGTATAAAACCCAATTTTCTAAAGTATCCTCACATTCACTGGATCTATTTTTCTTTATTTCAGATCGGTGCATTTAAATATCGAAAATCTTGACATATAAATGAGGTGTCACTGTCATATTCTCCATGATATTGTAAAAATTAAAATTAAAACATTAAGCTGAAGAAAAAGTCAATGTCGAAACTTAAGTTTCCGCATAGAGATGTATCTAAATTGTTGCAAAGACTAAGGGAGTTTTTACTCGGTAGAAAGCATACTTTACACCTACGTTTCCCACAAGCGGTTGCTCCCCGTACAATTCCACCTGTGGATCTTCCTCGGAACCTCGATCTTAAATATTCAGAGCAATATTACTACACCAGAAGTGCAATGGATTCCGTAAAACCGCCTGTGATAGCACCAATAGCTCTTGGGAGCAAATCTGATGTAAGCAGTTGTTCCAGCAGAAAAAGTGTATGTATAAAATATTAATTTTATGTTAGTACCACAAATGCGGTAAGTTATATTACTTTGAGTTGTTTATTATATCCTATATCTGCTTCACAGGTTTCCTTTGAGTCTGCACCAACTCCGGGGCCTTCTTGGTGGTGGGATGGTCACTGTTATTATGAATGTACTCCAGATGTTCCTAAACCTAAACCAAAACCAACTACCCCATGTACTGTCGAACCTCATTGTGCACAAAATCCATGTAAATAATTATTAAACTATAGAACCATGTCATAGTTCAGCTATTTAGGATATGAAAAAAATAAATAAACTATGGATATGGATAACCTTAACATTTTAGTTATTATTGTACCTAGAAAACATTACTAAGGACATATTATACATAATAAAAACATTACAAACACATTTATCAGCATAATATGTTTTATTAGTAGGCGAATGAATCTTGAAGTGTAGAGAGGGAGAGAGATTAGTAGTCTCCAATTCAAACTCTAAATTTTTGTCGATTTTGTGGTCAAAAATATCCATCTTGGCATACAAAAATATACTGACAGAATTAACTGCTAACTGCGATAGTTCCTTTATGATTGGGACAGAAAATGTAAAATGCGAGGGCTAGGGCCAGGAACGTTATAACGCTATACCAATGTCACGTCATTTAAATGTCAATGCGCTGTCCACTGCTGTCATTGTCATGTATAGCACGTGTGTTATCTGATCTGTCAACTACGTGTTTTATGTTTACGAATTGTAAGGTCTAAATATATTTAACTTTATTCACAAAAAAAATATATACGTCAAAGATATTGTTATAAACATTTAATATTGTTTTGCACGTCTTTACGATGTCAAATGTAAAAATAAAGGTTATAAGTAGAAACCCTGAAGATTATTTACGGTCTACTAAAAGGGATATTCACAAACGTAAGTTTTTATTTTTAGTTAAGTTTTTTCATGATAAATAATTGTATTTGTTCATATAAAGGTATAAATAATATCGTTTTTAGTTCCAAGAAATTATGATCCAAGTTTACATCCCTTAGAAGCACCCCGCGAATATGTAAGAGCATTGAATGCTGTTAAGCTTGAAAAAGTATTTGCTAAGCCTTTTATTGGATGTCTTGATGGACATAGAGATGGAGTTTCATGTATGGCAAAACATCCTAATAAGCTTGCATTACTAGCTAGTGGTGCATTTGATGGCGAAATAAGACTTTGGGATTTAGCTCAAAGAAAATGTTCCCGAAATTTCGTGGCACATGAAGGATGGGTTCGTTCTATATGCTTCACACCAAGTGGGGAAACATTTACTAGTGTTGGTGATGACAAAACAATAAAAACATGGAAATCACAAACCCAATCACCTGAGGATGAGGAACCTGTCAACACTTTACTCAGTATGTCTGTGGTATCAGGTATTACACACCACAGGAATAAACCAATTTTTGCTACATGCGGTGAACATTGCCAACTGTGGGAAAATACAAGGAATGAACCCATTAAAGTCTTTAAATGGGGAGTAGATAGCCTTCATCATGTTGCATTTAATCAGGTTATAAAATTATTAATCATTACAATCTCTACATTTTTCATATATTTTTGGTCTTTTACTTGTTTGTCAAAGTTAAGTTAAAGAATATAAGTTTACATAATTTCAGGTTGAATATAACTTATTAGCATCATGTGCAAGTGACAGAAGTATAATACTTTATGACTGCAGAGAATCTGGGCCATTGAGAAAAGTTGTAATGGAACTCAGGTCAAATGCTCTGTCATGGAATCCAATGGAGGCTTTTATATTTACTGTAGCTAATGAAGATTATAAGTAAGTAATTTACATAATTAACATTTGAAATTATGTATGAATAAGGAATAATTCATTTTAAATATTTTGGCCGACAAGTTCAAGAGCCTCCAAAGCATCAAAATTAAAAATAAACAGTGCTTATATCTGTAATATTTTCTAGCTTATACACATTTGATGTGAGGAAACTTAATCAACCTATCAACATTCACATGGATCATACATCAGCTGTCATAGATGTGGACTACTCACCAACTGGACGAGAGTTTGTAGCAGGCAGTTACGACAAGACTGTAAGGATATTTGAAAGTTTAAAGGGACACTCAAGAGATGTCTATCACACAAAGAGAATGCAAAGGCTCACTTGCGTCAAATGGTCTTTGGACAATAAATACATATTGACAGGGTCTGATGAGATGAATATCAGAATGTGGAAGGCAAGAGCATCTGAAAAACTTGGTGTTGTAAGTAAAATCTTTAGTAATATTTCTATTCTTTGAGTTCCAATCCTTTTTAAGATGTTTCCATCCATTATAATTTTTTTGTGTAAAAATGCATTTATTAGAAGAGTTGGTGACACTCAATATTTTCCCTGGTGTAGAATCTTTTCAACAAATATATCTTTCTAGATGATTCAATATATTTATTTCCAGCTTAAACCTCGTGAAAGAACAGCACTTAATTATGCAGATGCATTAAAAGAAAAGTTTGCTAACCATCCACAAATCAAGAGGATAGCTCGGCACAGGCATGTGCCAAAACATATTATGAATGCGCAGAAGGAACTGAGAACAATTCGAGAGAAGTCAAAGAAGAAAGAAGCAAACCGTCGCGCGCACAGCAAGCCTGGTGCCGTGCCATATGTACCAGAGAGGAAGAAACACATTGTCAAAGAAGACCAGTAACATGTATAATCTTTTTCATTATAATTTTGACTTTATGCTCTTTGTTTAATTTATCTTCTTTGTCATTGCCTTATTGACTGTAATTAATGTGTATATAATTTTTATGAAAAATTTTTTAAAAGCCTCATTGTAGCTAGCATTTATTGATTTACTTTCAGTAGAAATCTGATATACTAATTACAGAGCTAATATTTAAACTATGTAATGAATATTTTTGGTTATTTTGACACTAAACATTGCCATACAGGTGATTGTGGATGTATTATTTTACCGTTCCTGCAGTGTTTTATATTTGCCTTTAATTTGAAAACATAACATCCATTAAACAACAGAAGTATACAAACATTTTGATGATCAAACAAATCGTAGATAAGATTCTTCATCACAAATGATTGATTGCATGTTGCCAATATAATTGATTGTTTATCTTCAATTATCTTTCTGAAAAAATTGCATTCGATCGACGGCGGTCACTAATCGTAATTTATCAAGCAGATTAGAACCGGAAAAATCATAAATTGAGTGCTAGTAGAAAGACAAGATAAGTGTTCAATAAAGTACTAAATTATCTGTATGTACTCCGAACCGGAAATATAACAATTTGATAACTGACACCTTACTTTTTTTTAATCGCCAACTATACTATATACATTGATAAGAAAATAAAAATAATATAATCACAAAGTCTGAAATGGGAAACGGTATGTTACAGCAGCTGTTGTTCATTCAAAGGATAAAATAATATACGATTGATATTTGGCCAATAGAAATGCCTCACGACACATAATACATTGCTTTATTAGAGTAAAGTCTACGCCACATGTTGTCTACATTATACTGTATTGCACTACAAATTCATAAATACTTTTTCATTCACATACACTGGAAACATTCTCACTTTTTCACAAACTAAACTAAACTTTTTAATTACACTTCAAATCAAACGAGGTAAGGGATTGTGGATGCATTAGAAGAGATCAAATGTTGTGAAAAAAAGAAAACATGCAATTTGAACAATAATCAGAGGATAATCAGTGTTTAAAGTACACTGGTATTATATAAAACAAATTATATTATAAAGTCGGAGCTTCAACCAGCTTGGTTGACAGGCCTGCTGATGCGATTTGGAAGGGTCATCGTCCAAATATCTATCCTGGAAATAAAATTACGTATTTAAAAAAACTATTGTTATAAATTGCAGCACTGCAAACAAGAAATAATCTGAGTCAATCTTGTTAAATTTCAGTCTACTAATTATAATACTAATATTATAAAGAGGAATAATTTGTTTTTTTGTATGTAGCAAATAAATGCAAAACTACTGGAACAATTTTAGTCTTTCATTAAGATTGCTACATTTTCACTTAGTAACATACAATCTATAACTTAAAAATATTAATAATACATAAAGTACTAACATAACATCCCGTGGTAGATATGTTTGGTCTAGATTGTGTTCAAGAACTTTGAGTATGCATAGTGTTTTAAGAGTTGGTGAATAATCCAAGATATGCAGGTCGCTGTTGTCAATCAGCCTCTCCGGATCATCAGCTGCTTCAGGGTTCTCCACCGGCCGGCCACTTACATGTGGACACGGACTGTACATAAATATGTCTAATTAATTATCATCTAAAATATGTATGAAAATAAATTAGGAAACAAATTCAGTGTTATTCCATTTGTTAATAGAGTTGTGAATAATCTGAATAGCTTAAAATATAATACAATAAACGCAAATGTTTCAATGAATGAATGGATGTTTGTCTGAAAGTTTCTTCGGAGAAGCTGTTCGGACAGCTTAACAGATTTTGATGAAATTCGGAACATAGTCTGGAAGACTTTTTTAGTTCCGCGCGGACGGAGTCACGGGCGACAGCTAGTGAGTGTATAAATGATTAAAGCACTCCCACCTTGTTCCACCAAAAAGATATAGTTTATTGTTATACGGCAAGCAAGCTTGACGCCTTCTTTGGCAAGGCTTCACTCCACCAACATTAATGTATTGCCAATAATTTCCATTGATTGAGTATCTGTATAAATCGTTAAAGTGAGTTTTTGTATTTCCATTAAACCCACCAAAGATGTACATGTAGCCATCGTGATACCCTGCAATAGAAAAAGGAACCTTAACCACAACATATATATTGTCATAGTATGCATGTATATCTTTATTAGTGTCAAGCAATATTGTAACATCTCAATAATAACTAAATACTGAAAATTTCACATGTGCTAGGCAATTTATTTCTTTATGTTTATGAAAAGGCAACCGTGAACAGTTCACATATAATGCAATAGTTTTTGAAATTGTTTAACCATTTACATTTATGAAACTCCTCGTATTAGTTAAACCCAAGCCAACTAGGAAATGTCCTTCACAATCGCTATAGTAATTTAAAATAATACTTATTTCTTACAGGCCAATTCAAACAATTTATATGCTATTTGAATTTAAAAATAATTCGTTGATTTAGCATAAATAATACATACAAAGAATGTATGTTTAAAACTTATTTAATGTAATTGGCATCAATATTATAGCCACTTAATCTTTAAAACAATCAAGCTATTGAAATTGCAGACAATGTCTATTATGACGAATGAACACTCTTTGGTATTTGAATTAAGTCATTAATTAATATGATGTCTGCGTATTTTATGCATTAAGTATGACTGGCTTTTCAAATATGATTGTATAATGATTTAGTTTTACTTAATTATATAATGGTTTTAAACAATAATGAATGAATAACTTATTGAGTATATTTGAAAAATAGTATTAAAAGATTATCTTACAAGCTGAATGACTACGCCTGCCCTCTGGCCAGGTGCCTTGTGGATTAGCCACAACCCACTCATTCTTTAATGTATCCAAATAAAATACTTGTGGGCAGTACACTTCCTCTTGAGAGTTATATGGGCTGTTCAAATCTCCTCTGCCACCAAATACATACATTCTATCTCCAATCGGCACAGCCGTATGGAAGTCTCTCTGGGAAGGTGGACTTCCATGTACATCAATAAAAGTCCATTGTAAAGTATCCAAATCTAAACAATGCACCTCTTGTGAATACTGATCAGTTAAGTATTCGAAACCTCCAAATATGTACATTTTGTTCCCTATAACACATGCGGAATGGCCATCTTTGGCAATGGGCATAGTCCCAGAAACAGGTGGCATACTCCATTCTAGTTGTTTTGTATCAAAACAAAATAACTTATCACAAGCTACAGCATTGTTTCTTCCTCCCCACATGTATATCTGAAATACATAATATTGTATTATAAAACAAGGAAATCATTATTCATACATTAAAAACAACTTAAATTATTTACATTAATGTCTAACCTTGTCACCATACGGTACTGTTGTGTGTCCATACCTCTGAAAAGGCATTACATGAGTCTTTCTGTAATATACTGGGGACCACCTTAATGTGTTAGTATCCAAAACATGGATGGGAATTGGTTCCCAATCCTTGTATTCTTCTGTTGAACAATAACCACCAAATGAAAATATTTTATCGCCAATGCACACGGCTGCATGGTTGACCCTCCGTGGGCCGCCTTCGATATGCACCGTCCATCTCATACTAATGATTTCTACAAATTAAAAAAATTATAATAAATAAACACCAAGTAGAAACAGTTGAGACTAGTCAGACAATGGTTGTTGTCTTTATTTTTGTAGTAGGGTACCTTATTCACACTTATCACTGAAAAAAAGAATTACGTCGACTTAAAGTTAAACGGAGATGTTTTTTTATTCAGTAGGCTAGTTTTTCATAACAATGCTACTTTATTTGCATGTGTATATTTTCACTACAGCGTAATTTAAACCGAAGAATTGATTGACAGTAATATCTCAATGACATTAACACAAATTGTATTGCCACTCGGAATAAAATTTTTAACTGTTGTCATTATAAAAACATAAGCGTGAAAAAATTTTGATACACGGAGATATTTGTCTTTTTTTATGTTTTTGTATTTCCGATCAGACTATTAAAAAATATTGTTCTTAATATCTAAGTAACTAATATCCCACATGAGTGTTACGTGAGCTTTACGTGTCGGCAGAGACGTGGCAATCACACACGTCTTTCAGCACTACAACTTTGTTATGTTGAACTTTAAATCACCGTTTACTTTAGTCAATAGCTCTATTCGTTTTGAACGAGTTTTGCGTTAGTTCTAAGCCACCCAAGTAAAGGAAAACAAAATACAAATTTTTGGACTAAAAACCAAAGAGTATATCTTTCTTCTTCTTCTTTCTTAGCCGTAAGTTGCCCACTGCTGGGCATAGGCCTCCCCCAAAGATCGCCACGATAACGGGTCCTGTGCTACCTGCATCCAGGTCGTTTCCGCAACCTAGACCAGGTCATCGGTCCATCTTGCGGGAGGCCTGCCCACGCTTCGTCGACCTGTCCGATATAAGAACTATGAACGCAAAATAAATGTTTACAGTTTAATTCCATCCTAGAACTAGTGCTAGGTAACAGGGGTCTCTTAAATCATAGTTTGGTCTTATGCTTGTGTAGATTACTGTTGTGCTATAATTTCGCATTAAACAATTTTAATATACAGTAATTGTGTTATAGACTATGTAATTGATGTCAGCAATCATATCGTAGTACTGTAGCTATGTGCTGTGTACATTTATCATAAAATATCTTTACTTGCGTTACTTTTTCATTTTACTGGAAGTTGGAATCAAATTATTAAGCCCTATCTTGTGCAATAATGTTGTTCTTTTTTCATCAGCGTGCGAGAGCAATAGGCGTGATCTTTCAACGCCAGGCGGTGTTAAGGCGCGAATCATTTGTTATTATTTCTCTCACGCGTCGACTTCCAAACAAATTGTATTGTAACTGACAATATGAGCGATTATTGTTCGATTTGATGTAAGAAATGTTGTCTTATACAAACAATTTTTTCTACGACGGACTCTTTCTAAGTAGAATAAAGTTTACATGAACGAGCATTACCGCTACTGAATAACATTCTCTTAGTTTCTTACAAAAATAACAGGTACATATTTTTCCACAATAATAGAGCTAACCATTTGTAAATCTTGGCTAGACTTCTTAGTTATGATGTTATCAAAACATTACGGCCTGGTACTGCTAGGATCAGCCATCTATCCGAATGCCTTTTCTACGATGGAACTTACTATGATTTAAATATTATTCTGCAAAGGACGCGCGTAATACTTTATTTACTTAAATAAAATTTAATTCAATGGCGGCGACATGTGCTGTACGAGTTAAGTACTTATCGTGTTTATGCGCTCGAGGCCGCATCGGTTAGCGAATCTACAACAAAACGTATTTTTCTTCGTCCCCACGCGGGGTGGTGACACGTTCCGTGACGTATAGAAAGCGCATTGCCGTTGACGTTCGATCTATAAATCATATTCGGGGCATCGGGGAGAAGCGACCGGCCGTCCTCCCTGGCGACCCGTCTGCGTTATCCTCGTTTTTTGTCTGTCTCCTGGGCCCCTGTGACGATATGTTCATCACATCTCGAAAGTATTAACAAGATTTTAATCATTCATCAACATTATTCCACAATCACTAATTACCTCGTCAGGTAAGCATAACTTTGTATCAAAGTATAAACTGAATTTGTACAAATCGTTTTAAAAACAAACTGTGACATTTGTCTTAATAATGCTCTTCGTAATTGATGAATAACCATTGGTATTTTGTAAAGCGTAAGCAATACAAACAATGCATCATGTTAATATCTTTTGGAAAACTTATTTGGATACATTACACGCGCCACCCGTTACCAAATCCAACTAACATTTATCATCGGAATCCTATAAAAAGTAAACCGGAACTAATCCTGTACCGCGTCGGAGCCCTCCCCTAATCTGCATACGCCAAGGAAAATAATTTCACGCCCTCTCAACATCGGGAAGATGCTCTTTTGTCGCCACTCTCAACGAATAAACATTTTTAAATGCAATTATAGAAATATTTACTGACAGTATTTTTATCTTTGACTTATTTAAATATTATTTTTCTTTATAATTATACTAGCTGTTGGCCACGACACCGTCACCGCGGTTTAAAAAAAAACTTAATAAGTAGCCTATGTGTTCTTCCAGGCTGTCCTACATTTATGCCACATTTCTTCAAGATTATTTGCCGTAGAAGTCGTTCCGCAGATACCTGTAAACATCCATTCATCCATCTAAATTTTCTCATTTTCATATTAGTAAAATAAGATTTAGTTATTAATTTTTTGTGGTTTTAATTTTCAATAGTAAAATATTAGTTACCAGATACTTTTACTAAACTCAAAGTAGGTTTCATTGACATGTAAAAATATAGCGTTTTTTATTATTAAAATATATATCGTTATTGTATATTGTACTTCGGTTGAAAGTGTTTTTGTCTTGAATCGGGTATAAAGAAGCAATGCTGTCGCCAGCTTTCCTGCCTTTATTGATACACGGAAAAGATTTCTGTTTGATAGTTGTGGTTCGTGAGCTTTGACGCCTTGCTTATAATAAGTGATGTTTTTAAATCTATCGATATGTTTCAAGTACTTTGTTACTTAGCTATGCTTTTCTTTTAAATATAACATGATACCAGAAGAAAAGAATATTAAAATAAATGATTTTATAACATCGGGAATGGACAAGAAAATTAAGTGTTTAAAAATAAAGTCACTTGGATCAGTCAATTAAAATATTTTAACACTAATTAAAGACAATGTTTGGTTCTTTTTTTTTACAATATCTTATTTTTTGGGTAAAAAAATGATAGTCGATACTTGAAGTTAGTAGTGGCCCAACACTATTCGCATAAAGACTTGGTAAGACTCCCCATACAGTGGCGTTTATTGATGGACTTTGGAAGTTTTCAACATTATGACCGCCTACTTTACATGTGATGTGTTAGTTTTATTACGATTTCGCATTTGCCGCCTGATGTGCCGCTGTGATTTTCTTTTTAGGTTTTCATATTGGGAGCCGACTTTTGAAGTATTCTTATAAAAGAAAAATCTTATTTATTATCGAGGCTTGAATAGAAAATAGCGTTTAAATAGCAAAATTAAAAGAATCCACTGTAAGGATTAAAGCTAAACACGCACTATCGATAGCTGTTGTCTTGATTTTAGATTTTTTGTAACGATTTTTCTTTAGATTTATCTCAGTATTCTTATATTTTTAATCTTAATTTTTTATAGGAATAACACGGTCTATGTACTGCCTTAATTCTGACTGTTTTTTAGCATATTACTTTTAATAAAATCTTAAAAATACGTGAGTTATTATTCAATTCAAACCATTATAATATGTCATTTTTATGTGGCTACTTTTAGGCAATATATTCCTTTTCATTGTGGCTAAGGTGCTCGTAGGGATAAAGGCTTTAATCTACGATTATAGGCGACACTCACTATTGTGCTTGACCTATTCGTTGAGTTATTGCCGTTATCGGTGGTGATGGTATACTTTGATAGTACCTTTGATGGCATCCTTTGAAAGGCGTACTTATTGTTAAAGAGATGTTTAAAGTTTATGTCATTTTGTTTCTTTCTTAAATTATTATTTATTGTAAAGTAAAAGTTTATAGTATTTGTTTTGTTACGTTGTTACTGTTTATTATTGTACTGTTAATATTCAAATGATAATGTAAATGCTCATTTTATTAAATAGTCGATGTACTGTACTAAAATTAAAAATATTATTTTGCTTTTTGAATTATTCTCTGTCGCTATTTTCAATTACATAATCCGTTATATATCATCTCATTGCATATTTAGTATTTAGTACATTTTGTAGTTACCACAGCTATGTTTTGATCTGTTAATATATCTTATAGTCGTTAAGTGGATACCTACCTAATGTATTTATATAAGTGGACACAAAAACGAGGCCATTACGTCCATGCTGCAAGTCGCAACTTGTAAAAAATATCTTATCCAAAGAACACATAAAAAGCAGACATCGTTTTTCTTTTAAAAAACTCTCTCATTTGCCTATCAATAGTGGTTGGAGCAGATCTGACCGTAATAAATGTCATATTTTATGGCACTTAGGGAAATATGCAAGGGAACCGTTTTTACATTTTAGCCGGTGACCGGGAGACGCTATCCGCTATGCCGAATAACACATTACACAGCGCTCGCCCCCTCAAAGATTTCTAAAATTTATTTTCAATTTTATTTCTCTTCTTGTTTATTGGGATATGATGATTCGTATGCACTTGCCCACAAACAGTTGCTCATAGATCTCGGGCTCAGAACCTAATGGTTATAATCTAAATTATTTTACTTTAGAAGTTAAATAAACGTATAGATTCTTTATTCTTCACTAAGATTTTATATCGTCATTCGTCGCCCTCAGTATCTCGTTGCGAATAAAAGTTGGCGGCAACATGGATGTGATCCATCAAAGATTTGCGTCAAAATGAAAACAAATCTGTGCTAAGCTGTCGCCGAAATTCAAATACGATCGGATAATCGACACAGAACGTGCTGGCCGCGAAATCGTTTGCATTAAAAATATTAAAATAAACATTACTCGGCAATGGCAAACGTAATGATAAAAAAAAAATAACGCACCAAAAGTGTTCTGTTTTATATTTAGAAGACAAAGTTACCACGAGAAGCAACGATAACAGCAACTTTTCTTTATAGTGGACTATGGAATTAAATATTATAGTTATACGCAATAGTTTTAACTTATTCTAGCTAGACAGTCAAGGAATAAAAAGGGTGAAACCGCATAGCCATAAAGGCGTCGATCATTGACTTTCAGCGGGTACCCAAGGTACCCGGACGTCTCGCGACAAAAGGCGCGGAGTCAGATTACGCGCGGCACAATATTTGCGCGGGCGAGTGTGGGT